ATAGCTGTCGGTGCTGAGTGCTCTGAGAACTCCTATACCTTCTACTGTGCCCTGGCAGGTGTCCCTTTCCCTGGCTGCAGGATGTGGATGGGGCACAGGTGGACGAGGCTGCATCATGAGGTTTTCCACGGGGCGGCTTCAAGCTCTGGTAGAGGTTAGGACACTTATTGGCTTTAATGTTTGCCACAGCTCCTGACAGCAGCGGGGCAGATTGGCAGGTCTTGGAGGAGCTCTGCCAGTCCTTCACTTTCAAGGATTTCAAGAAGGTCGCGCGACATGGTCAGTTCTCAAAATTAGGGTCCCTGTTTTGGGTACCCTAAAATAGCGGGGTCGGCTTAGGACCATAATTTAGGGAGATCGCCACATCGACTTGCTTTTGTGTCCGGCTGTAGCGGCAAAAAGCGCGGAAAGCAGTTCGACTTGTCTCTCAAAGTGTGGATGGCCGCAGGGGTGGAACTACGCAGATTTCGCCGACTTCCCCAAGTGGCACGAGGTCGACAGTTCCATGCTGGCCTTCACATGGGGGTTTCCGAAATCAGGGTTACCTTATTCAGGTCCTTATGAGAAGGGAATCCCGCTAGTTGGGGGCCTATACTAGGGGTCCCTTATGTGCGGAAACCCCCACATGTTGGCAGCCAGACTCCGCTTCAGGAGCAGACGCGACGTCTGTCGAACATGGGGCATGACGAGGCTCCGCTGCTCTCCTCTCTGAAGCCCACTCTCCCAAGCAGTTTTGTGTTGTAAACCCTAAACCCTAAACCCCTAAACCCTAAATTAAACCCTAAACCCCAAAACCCCAAACCCCAAACCCTGAGCCCTAAACCCTACACGGCACATCCTACACCCTACCTGGCAGCATGTCGGCGGCAGGTGAAGCCTCTGGCTCCTCTCGCAGGTGCGGGCGGAACCAGCTTCTCGCAGCTCCCCGTCGTTTGGGAGAAGTCTAGGATTACGGGTTTCGGGATTAGTGTAGGATTACTGGTTTAGGTCTAGGGTTTAGGGTGCCCCTGGCCCGCAATCATCCGAACCACTAGGCCAAAACAATACACTTCGCCATCCCAGTTTTGGAAAGTCTGGGAATGCACTTGCGTGCATCATCATGAAGCCTTTGTGAGGACGAAGCCCTCGGCGATCACAATCCCACTCTGCTGTGTATGAGGCTCAGGGCGGCAGATAGAATCCATGTAGAAGTATTGCGGGCAGCAAGTGTACATGAATCTTGGACCGCTCGACGTCTTGGGGGACCACAACATCTTTTTCCAGCAAAACTCGCCAGAAACCCCCAAAAGGTGAGTAAACAAGCCTGCTTGAACAGGCGTCCTCCGTGTTTCGCAAATTGTGTCTTCGCTTCGTCCGACTTTGCAAATTCCTTACACTGTAGATTGCAGCAGAACTTTGGCTGGTTGCTGCCCTGTCCACATGTTTTGTCCGCCCGCTGCTGTCCAGTACTTGCTGAGAGCCAACTTTACGAGATATACATTCCTGTGTACACAAGCTTGCAGCATGACAACACTTTTTCATCAACACGGCAGCCACAGTACATGGACGGGCAAGGGGCCACACAAAAGGGCTTGCACACCTGCTTGCTTGAAACGTGCGGCGGGAAAGATGATTCAGAACCTTGATCTCGTGATAGCATGCTCAGGTGTTTCTAGTGCTTGTCACAATGAAGGGCAGGCTACTGCGTAGGACCCTGTTCAATGGTACATGTTGTGGTGACGTAAGGCTCTCTTCAAGAGCTAGCACTTGATACCAAAGAAAAAACGAATGCTGAGAAGCAAGCAGGTGAGACCAATGCTGACACGACGAACGGACAAAAACAATCACGTGCCTTTATTCACGGTTTTCTAAGAACGGTGGATGTGCGTGCAAAGGATTCGGATTCAGGGCCTGTTCTGAGCAAAGTGAACAACGCATGGTGGCTCATGAGATATTCAAGGTTAATTTGCAGCAACAACAGATGGAGGGCTTGCAGGAAGCAGCTGAAAACAACGAAGGCGCAAGACAAAGCTTCTCGCTAGCTTTACCCCTGTAGTGAAAAGAAGTTCAGAACAGCATGGTATGGGCAGACGCTGAAGCATGTGCAGCAGACACACGTGCAGTCATGCAGACAGACGACTAGCAGGTCCCAGAAGACTCCCTACATTTTCGGAGTTCGTCAGCAGCAGGAGGTCAGCTCTAGACCCTAAACGCAAGGTGGGTTGAGGGTGTTTAGGGTTCAGAGTTTGGAGCACTAAGCCCCAAAAGGGCTCACGTGCTGAGGTCCATGCCTCCATGGCGGGACCGGCGTGAGGGCAGGCCTGGCCCACTTCTCTGTCTGTGTCATGCGGAAAGGTTCCCTTCTTGCTAAAGAAAGGACGCTCTTTTGTCCTAAGCCCTGAAACTCCAACCACCCAAAACCCCTAAAACCCCTAAAACCCCTAACACCCCTAAAACCCCTAAAACCCCTAAAACCCCTAAAACCCCTAAAACCCCGAAAACCCCGAAAACCCCTAAAGCCCCTAAAACCCCCTAAAACCCCTTAAACCCCTAAAACCTCTAAAACACCTAAAACCACCAAAAACCCCTAAAACCACTAAAACCCTACACCCTACACCCTACACCCTACACCCTACACCCTAAACCCTGAACCCTAACCCTGCTATCCAGGCTCCGGAGCTCGGTGCCGGTCTTGGGCATGGGCCTCAGGTCTGCGTTCATCCATGGCTGGCTCCAGCAACTGTTGGGTGTGCAGGGTTTGGGGTTTAGGGTTTCAGGGTTTAGAGTTTTGGGTTTTAAGCGTTTAAGGGTTTAGGGGTTTTTAGAAGCGTTCGAGGGTCTAAGGTTTGAACCCCAACCCAGCCTCTGTTTGCGAGGCTTTCCGCCCCATCGGACGGCATCGCTAACCCCCAGGCTACTGCCGTCACCTCAGTACCAAGGCAGGTTGGGCCCTAAACCTCTCCAGTCCTACCATATATGTATAAACCTTAATGGTATTCGTGGGCATAGGCCTGGGGCTTCGTGGGCATAGGCCCGGGGCTTCGTGGGCATAGGCCCGGCCTTGAGCCCCTAAACCCTTGAGACCCTAAACCCTTGAGACCCTAAACCCTTGAAACCCTAGACCCTTGCGAACCCTATTAATCTTGTTGTTGAGCCATCCTAATAATAAGAAGAAGCTTTGTATTTCGTAATGTTATGGGAACTTCGGGTGGGTGGGTGCTTTTCGATGTTCTAAACGACGAGCCTAAACGAGAAACTACTCGACCAGGAGCTTTTGAACCCTAAACCCTAAACCCTAAACCCTACACCCTAAAGCCTAAACCCTAAACCCTAAACCCTAAACCCTAAACCCTAAACCCTAAACCCTAAACCCTAAACCCTAAACCCTAAACCCTAAACCCTAAACCCTAAACCCTAAACCTTAAACCCAAACCCTAAACCCTACACCCTGACCCCAATTCTTTTCTCAAACGTTGAGGCCCACGGACGAGATGTCCACCGGGGTTGGGCGCTAAGGCTTTCAAGATGCCAGAGGGCACAAGCCTGGTGGGGTGTAGGGTTTAGGGTTTAGGGTTTGGGGTTGAGGGGTTAGGGTTTAGGATTTAGAAGTTTAGGGTTTAGGGTTTAGGGTTCAGAAGCTTAGGGTTTAGGGTTGAGAAGTTTAGGGTTTAGGGCTCTGTCGTCTTGTTCTTTGAGTGCGCAGTGTCTCTGCAGGCAGAGGACGGGACCTTGCGGCTCCTGGCACGGGAGCCAGGCCCCGTCCAATGCTTGTCATCTGGGCGGGCCATGCTGAGTTTTGGGCTTTCTAGGGTTTAGGGTTTAGGGTTTAGGGTTTAGGGTTTAGGGTTTAGGGTACCAGCAGCTGTAATGAATCTCTTACAGAAGAAACCCCGAAGGTCCCAGACTTCAGATCAACCCCTACTTTTGAGCTTGGGTCTGCGTAGCCGTAGCCGAGCGCAGCCGCTGACGATTCTTCTCCTCACTTCTGCAGCCCAAACTCCTCGAATCCCTGATCCCTAAGAGCTCCGATTCCTTTTGCCGGCTGTATCTTAAGACCTTCAAAATACATCACTGCAATAAAGACACTCTATTACTACTACAATGCAACTGTATAACCCTAAACAAGAACCCAGTGGTTTCCTCCCTCTTCCTCCGACCTGCGCGATGCCAGGTGACTGGAAGTTGCGTGGTGTTCGCCAGAACCCTGAGGAATTGAGCGGCGATGAAGCTTCAGGGCTTGGGGTGCCTATAAGTAGGGTTTGTGTTTCTATACCCCAAAGTAAAGTACCTAAGGCGTTTCAGTTGAGGGTATCGATCAGACCCAGCCTCCGGTGCTGCTGGATGCAGAAGGAAGCTTTTTCTCAAATATGGGTGTTTTCCGTCGGTCGCCAAGATGTACCTTAGGAATACAAATGCGCAAAGCCCTACTTAGAACCTTAGTGTGCCTGTTGGCCAAGGTCAATGCCACTCCGCTCGCTGACTGCTGCCCAGGTAGCCCACAAAGTCCTCCGTGCCAAAGTTGCCGGTTTGGGGACCCGACCCTCAACCCTGAAACCCACACCCTAAAACCCGAAGGACCACAGCTCAGGAACCTTGCGCACAGAATGGTGCGAAGAGCTCGTGCGCCTGAGAAAGAATCGGCTTTAGCAACCTCGTGCCGCCGTGCTGAAGATTCTTGCGACCGCCTGCGTGTGTGGCAGCCAAATCAACACAAGGTGCACCTGTCTCTTTGTTATCGTGCCCTGAGCCTTGGACAATCATATTCTCCTGTGCATCTGGCTCTTGCAGGCAGCCGGGATGGATCAGAGAGGTGTGCAGACAATTGCAGTCATACATAGGTAACGTGGCTGCGCTGGATTTCTACAGCACAGATTGGGTATAGCTTAAGCTATCTGCAAACCTGTTAAGCTAAGTCTGGATACGCATTTTCAACTTGTGGGGGCGACGCATTTTCTTAGAGGTGCTTCAGAGATCCACGGTTTCTCGTCAGCAGTCTTTCATGGAGCCTCCTTTTGCAGCACATGGAGGCCACCGCAACTTTTTTTGTGCCGTGAAGCAAGATGCTTGAATCCCGACTGCGATTCTGGGTCCAAGGCACAGAAATCAGGGAATTCAGGCCCCATCTTGAAGCTTACAATCTCATGCTCAGGTGGAGCATTCCGCTGACGAGGCTGGGGTCATGGGTGTTTCCCAAAAATAGGGGTACCTTCTATACCCCAAATAGAACAGAATCCTCTAAAAGGGAACCCACAAAACGGTACCCTCCTTTTTTGGAAACCCCCATATGTAGAGGCTCTGGTCCTGTAGGCTTACCTTGATGTTGCTGTACCTGCCCTAAACCCTGCCGTTTGCACCTTGTGAAAGGACTTCTGGGAAAGAGTCTCCTCCGCGGAGCCTTCGCAGGGGTCCGCGCCTCTGCTCGTGACGTGCACCCCAGCATTCCCCGATATAACCCGCGTTTCGGGTTTAGGGTTTAGGGTTTCGGGTTTCGGGTTTAGGGCTTAGGGGCTCAAATACAACCCCCTTATATACCTTGCATAGTCCCTATGTACCTAAACAACCCCAAAACAGCCCCGAAGGTCGCTATAAGGTTCCCTCCTTTTGGCTGAGGGGCTTTTGTGAGAAGGGACTTAGGGGCCGGCGCTGAAGTAAGAAGCAATCCTAATTTTTCACCCCGCCCCGCTACCCCCTAATATTGAATACTCCCTAATCACTAGAATATGACTGTGACTATGGGAGTATTGAATATTTGGGGTAGGGGGGGGTGAATATTAACGGGAGGGGATTAGTAAGAAGTCTCTGCTTTGCGCAGCTTGGACTACATCACCTGACGCGAGGCCCGCTCCGTGCAGTGCAGCCAACGACTGGTTGCTGATCCGATCGAAAACTTAGGGTTTAGGGTTTAGGATTTAGGATTAGGGTTTAGGATTAGGGTTTAGGGTTTAGGGTTTAGGGTTTAGGGTTTAGGGTTTAGGATTTAGGGCCTTTACTAGGTCGGAGTCCGATTGACTTGCTCTGTCACAATGTAACAGAAGTAAAAGAGGTTGCATCCCCAAACCCCAAACCCCAAACCCCAAACCCCAAACCCCAAACCCTAAACCCCACACCCCAAACCCTAAACCCCACACCCCAAACCCTAAACCCTAAACCCCAAACCCCAAACCCCACACCCCAAACCCCAAACACCAAACCCAAAACCCAAAACCCTAAACCCTAAACCTAAACCCTAAACCCTAAACACTCCGACAAGGCCGACCCCACTCCACACTCCTCGCTCGCCCTCGGAGCTGCCACAGTCGCCGCATGGAGCGGGGCGCTCGGAGGAAGTCTTAGGTGGAGGGTTTAGGGTCTAAGGTTTAGGGTTTAGGGTTGAGGGTTTAGGGTTTAGGGCTGGTGGCTTCGGGTTTGGGACTTGGGGTGCCGAGAGGTGTGAGAAGGTTCGGGGCTTTGGGCACAGTCGGCAGGCGCAAAAACCCTGAAGCCCCAAACCCAGATGTTTTAGCGCGACTTCTCGTGGTCCCCGATGGAACATAAAGTTGCGTGTTTAGGATCTACTCCAAAATGGATATAAACATAAAATATGAACAGAAGTAAGCAAAGATTAAGAAATAAATGTCAATCTGTGTTTAGAGGGGATGTTCCGCAGCAGCAGTTGTTCGGCTGCAGCCTGCTGCTTCGGTGCCCCTGCTGACGTGTGCAGCGACTACCCATAACCCTCAACCCGAAACCCTAAACCCTAGACTGTAAACCGACTTCGCAAGGTCTTTCTTTCGCAGCCGGCTTCGATTGTCGCGGCCTCGGAGACTGCTGAGGTTTGATCGCGAAAGCATGGCCGGCAAGCTGAGCCCGCAGCCTTGCCTCCTGTATTGTCCGTTCGCACGGTGGCAGCGTTCCGTGCCTTCATGTTGGGCTGGACATGGCCGGACATAGTTCGAGGGCACTGCTGCTTCTTTTCTGTCATTGGAGCCGCATGTGAAGCTTTGAGCATCTTTCGTAAATCCTCGATCCTAAGCCCTCAACCCTCAACCCTCAACCCTCAACCCTCAACCCCTCAACCCTCAACCCTCAACCCTCAACCCTCAACCCTAAACCCTAAACCCTAAACATCTTTTGAAGACCTTGCAAAACCCTGGTAGTTCTGATGTTGGGTGGAGGATGAGCCTCTGCTGCTTCTGGACGAAGACCAGGTGCCGGCAGCGCCCTGCTTTTTGCCAGCGCTTGCCGGATCCCGGTTTAGGGTTTAGGGTTTAGGGTTTGGGGTTTGGGGTTTAGGGTTTAGGGTTTGGGGTTTAGGGTTTGGGGTTTAGGGTTTAGGGCTTAGGGTTTCGGGGATCGAGTTTCCTGTGGAAGCCCTTCCGTGAGTTTGCTGGGTAGCACGCTCTGTTCATGCAGGAGCGGCACGAGGCGGAGAGGGTAGCTCTCAATGAGGCGGGCGACTTGCGACGAGGGAGGCTTGGGATGATGCCCCCTTAAACAGTCCTTGATAGGGATTATCTTATGGGGGTACGATAATCCTCACTAAGGACTGTTAGTATAACGGGGGGAATATCCCAAGGGGAGGAGGAGGTTTCAGGTGGATTGGGCTGCAGTCTTCCCTTTGTGGCTTGGGCAGGGCGGGCGTCTCACTTGCAGGAGTACTGGACGTCAGGCTTTGAGAAGTATGCTTAGGGTTTGAGATTCAGGTCGTAACCGGGCTCAGATTTTCAAGCAAGGGCTTACCAGATGAAGGTTTCGGGCTGAGGATCTCAGGCTCCTGGACACCGGTCCCCCAGAAATCCCGCATAGGAGATGGGCCCTATATTGCTGCGTGCATGGTTCTCTAAAATTGATGACTGTGTGTGTGTGTGTGTGTATGCATTTGTCTGTATGTATGTCTGTATGTTTGTATGTATGTAAGTACGTATGTATATGTAGTATATGTGGGGCGTTCGTTTGGGGATGCTAGTGTTTAGAAAGGAAAACGTACTTCACACCACCCGGGCCCACAATCCACAAGCCTCGCTCCCCTAAGCCTGAAAGCACCACTTTGGGTGAGGGCTTTCGCCCCAATTTAGGGTGCAGGGTTTAGTTTAGGGTTTAGGGTTTAGGGTTTAGGGTTTAGGGTTTAGGGTTTAGGGTTTAGGGTTTAGGGTTTAGGGTACGCATGGCAACGCCAGGAGCTCGCCGAAGCACGGCGGACTGGCAAGGCTTGGTGAGCGTAGGGAGTAGGGTCTGGAGTTGCGGGGGATGTTGATGGGCTGGGATTGCAGGTGCCAGGTACTGTCATTGGTGTCTGAGGATATTGGGGGTTTGGAGTTTCGGGTTCGTATTGAATTGGCACCAGGCGGACCGTGCGGCGGCAGATGCTATGGCAGACAAGGTGGAGGCAGAGTTCAACGCAGTGTCATGGGTGTCACTTGCTCTTTGCTGCGCAGGTCGGTCTTTAGCTGTGTGTGTTTGTTTCAACCGCGGGCCGCAGCTAGTGACATCAGTTCCACTGCTCCTGCTGCTATGCCTGCTGCTGCCGCTGCTACTGCTGCTACTGCTGCTGTTATTGCTGCTGCTGCTGCTGCTGCTGCTACGACTACGAGCACGCTTAGTCCTACTCCTACCTCGACCCCTCCTGCTACTGCCGCCGGGATGCCGCTACAACTACAGCGACGACATTCGACGACTTGTGAGATTCATACTATTGCTACTACCGCTAGTACCTTTAGTACCAACGGCACTACTACCACTGCCCTCGTGCGACGTTCTTGCTGTCCCACTATTCAAAGCACGGCTGCTTAGCCATGGTCCCTGATTAACGGCTACATCACTTGTATGCAATTTGTAAAGCAGCTGCATCAAGGGGCAAACGTGGCTTAGCAGGAGCTCCAACGAGGCCGTGCAGACAGTGACCGGGAGAAGCACAGGTGCAGAGCCCCAGAGTTGGGAGCGGCCCCCTTTGCCTGTGGAATCACTAGATTCCCGAGCAGTTCTCTAAAGTATAGTCTTTCTTGGGCTCCTCGTAACATGCAGTGCGGTATATTGCCTGCCACCCAGAAACGAAACCCTAAAGCCTAAACACTAAACCCTAGGAAAAGTAGCCGACAAACTGCCCCAGGCTTGAGCAAGAGAACGAGGCCGGAACTGGGGGAAGGGTGCCGGACTCCCTTTCCTGCACCTTCAAGCAGGGGAGTCAGACAAAGAGGAAGGTACCTTCAAAACCCGCCGCTTCTCATGCTTCATCTTTGATGTCTCCACATGTCTCCCTAACTATGGGCTGGCGGCACGATGCAAGTGGCAGGTGCTTCGTCTCCAGCTAAAGGACCACCACGGAATCATGGCAACCACGGCCTGTCTTCATTCTGCGCGTGTGCAAGGGGGGCCCGTACTTTTCCTGCGGGCGGGGGGGGGGGGGGGGGGGGGGAAGTTTTTTTTTTTTTTTTTTTTCGCAAGAGCGCTGCCCAGCTCCTGCAGAGATGGTAGGTTCAGCTGTGCTCAATGAAGATGCGAAGTCCAGTCCATGTGCCACAGGGCCTTTTGAGTGGGAACTACCAGCAGGGGTTCATTCAACAAGTGAGGTTTTCAGAAGTTTGTAGGGAAGTTCGTAGGGTTTCGCGGCGCAGATGTGGGTGAGCAGCTGGCATCCTTCATCACGGTAACGATGACGACCTAAACCCTGAGCCCTAAGCCCTAAGCCCTAAGCCCTAAGCCCTCAGCCCTCAGCCCTAAACCCTAAGCCCGAAGCCCTAAGCCCTAAGCCCTAAGCCCTAAGCCCTAAGCCCTAAGCCCTAAGCCCTAAGCCCTAAGCCCTAAGCCCTAAGCCCTAAGCCCTAAGCCCTAAGCCCTACGCCCTAAGCCCTAAGCCCTAAGCCCTAAGCCCTAAGCCCTAAGCCCTAAGCCCTAAGCCCTAAGCCCTAAGCCCGAACCGAGTGTTCCCAAGCAGGGCTTGGGGCTCAAAACAGCAGCCCTAAAGCCCGGCAACCCCCGCCAAAGCCCCTTGAGACTTCTGTGTGGCCAGGCTGCGGAATGGGGGCAGACGCTGCAGTTCCAAGAGAGGCCAGGGGCATTGCCTTCAGGCTGAGAGGCTTAGGGTTTAGGGTTTAGGGTTTAGGGTTTAGGGTTTAGGGTTTAGGGTTTAGGGTTTAGGTTTGGAGAACGCTTCGGATTTAGGAACATTACAGGGCTGAGGGCTGTCGAACGGCTCTTGCATTCTGAGGCCCCAACCATATATTCCGTGTAACATTCTTCCGTTTAACATTCTAGACCCTAACGGCCCCCAACTCCCCCGCAAAACCAGAAGAAACCCCCTCAACAAGGAAACTGCGGTAGTTGGGCCAACCCCCAGAAACGCTGAACTCTGAACCTTAGGCCTGAGGCCCCAGACCTCAAACCCTAAACCCCAAACCCTAAACCCAAGAATCCCCAAACCCTATAAACCGTAAGCCCTAAACACAGGCTTCGTCAGGAGGAAGCCGAGGTCGAGCGCTTGGCCGCAAAGGCACCAAAGCCGTGGCTTCCTAAAGGGAACTCATCTTGGTCATAGTTGGGTATCATTCTACATTTTTAAAGGGTACTTGAACCCAATAAGGAATATGAAGTTAAATTTTATTACGACCCCAACCATGAACTAGTCATGTTGTCTTCGGAAAGCCCCAAGAGAATATGAAACCCATTATTTTCAGGCAAGGGAAGAACAAGCTTTGGGAGCGCGCTGAGGCTTTTTGCAGTAATTGTTTGTAGGGTTTTAGGGAGAGAAGGGTCTTCGTAAGGGCTCCAAAGAGGGCTGGTCATGAGGAAGATGTTTCGTTACTTGTGTGTTTTTCCGCAGACTTTGATGGTCCAGATCTTTCTTGCACGAACGTTCTACGCCAATTCAAGCCCCTCCGAAAAACCATGGCAACGACGTTTTTTCGGCCGCTACGTCCGCGGAGCATGCGTGCTTTTGGCTGAGCTCATGTTCAAGATGTCTTTCTCCGTTTGGCGCAAGCACTGCTCCGTCTTCTGAGTTGCACCTTCCTTTATCAGGGGTCAACCCAAAGTCAACCCTAAGAAGCTTGAAGCCCTCAAAAAGCCCTTAAAGTCCGAAACTTCTCGGAAGGCCCTCATCCCTAAACCCCTAAACCCCTAAACCCCTAAACCCCTAAACCCCTAAACCCCTAAACCCCTAAACCCCTAAACCCTAAACCCCCTAAACCCCCAAACCCCAAAACCCCTAAACCCCTAAACCCCTAAACCCCTAAACCCCTAAAACCCTAAACCCCCTAAACCCCTAAACCCCTAAACCCCTAAAACCCTAAACCCCTAAACCCCTAAACCTCCTAACCCTAAACCCCCTAAACCCCATAAACCCCTAAACCCCTAAAACCCTAAACCCTAAAACCCCCTAAACCCCTAAACCCCTAAAACCCTAATAAACCCTAAACCCTAAACCCCTAAAAACCCCTAAACCCTAAACCCCTAAACCCCTAAACCCCTACCTAAACCCCTAAACCCCTAAACCCCTAAACCCCTAAACCCCTAAACCCCTAAACCCCTAAACCCCTAAACCCCTAAAACCCAAAAACCATCAACCCAATTAGAGACCCCACCGAGAGCAGGTGATCGAGCTCCAAGCCGCGCTAGCGCAGCGCGACGAGGAGTGGACCCGGGGGTCGGGCGGGGACCGCCGGCTCTGACAAACGTCGAAGCCTCAAAGTCAGAATCTCCTAAACCCTATGATAAGATCATTGAATGTGAGCAGGACAAGAATGCTATACTCCTGCTTATCACAGCATTCTTTCTGTTTCACCCTACACCCGAAACCCGAACCCCTAAACCCCAAACCCTAAACCCCAAACCCAGAGTTCCTGCAGGAGCTTGGACACCTACGGCGGGTAGGGGTCCTGGTGGGTTCACAAGACCATTTGCGGGTTTACGAAATTCGGGGTTTAGGGTTTAGGGTTCAGGGTTCAGGGCTGAGGGAACCCTAGTATAGTCCCCCAAAGAGTAGGATTCCCTTATAAAAAGGCCCGAATAGATTACCCCTAATTTCGGAGACCTTTTTGCGGAGGGTTTAGCGTTTAGGGTTTGGGGTTTGGATTTGGCGTTTAGATCCTCGGGGATCAGCGTTGAGCATTAGCTGGTCTTGGTCTTGGTCGTTGTTATGGCGGTCTAGGGTAAGGTTTTGTTCGATGGCTGCTAGAGCTTGCAGAAAAAAGTCAACTGAAGGTCGTGCATGCAAGCCTCGCAGAGAAGAGATCCCACACAAAGGGCTTCAGGGTTCGTTCAGTGTCCAAAAGCCATGCAGAGGCAAGAGCGTGCATGATATCACTCAGCCTTTAAAGAACATGTCTTGCGCATCCAACATGCTCGCCGCGAAAGCTCGAACGCCTCAACGCCTGCTCCACATCCACTACCCCAAACCGCAAACTCCCTAAATCCCAAACTCCCTAAACCCCAAACTCCCTAAACCCCAAACTCCCTAAACCCCAAACTCCCTAAACCCCAAACCCTAAACTCCCTAAACCCTAAACCCTAAACCCCAAACCCCAAACCCTAAACCCTAAACCCTAAACCCTAAACCCTAAACCCTAAACCCTAAACCCTAAACCCTAAACCCTCAACCCAAGGATGCGGCTCAGTGGCGCCTGCTGTCGCGGCACAAAAACGGGTCGGAGCCTTGCCTTCCCCTGCACTTCTGGGAGCTCCCTGGGGGGTTTAGGGTTTAGGGTTTAGGGTTTGGGGTTTAGGGTGTCTCCTATACTCGAGTTCAGGGTGCTTAGAGTTTTGGGTTCTTCAGCATGACTCTAATCTGCATGATTCTCAGCTTCAAGGGGTGCGCATCAGAATAGGGATCCTCACAGCGGACAGAGATGGGAGGCCTAAACCCTAAACCCTAAACCCTAAACCCTAAACCCTAAACCCTAAACCCTAAACCCTAAACCCTAAACCCTAAACCCTAAACCCTAAACCCTAAGCCCTAAGCCCTAAACCCTAAACCCTTAAAACCCTAAACCCTAAAAACCCTAAACCCTAAAAACCCTAAACCCCAAAGCCCCAAACCCTAAACCCTAAAAACCCTAAACCCTGCAGCCCAAACATAAACCTCCAAGCGCCATGCGTGCGCCTGTAGGCTCGGGGACGTCAGCTCCGACGACATCGAGCGCGTCCTGGAGGCAGGGGCCCCGTGTTGAACAGGGTTTAGGGTCTAGGGCGCATATGTTTGGGGCGCATCTGTTTAGGGTTTAGGGTTTAGGGTTTAGGTTTAGAGTTTAGGTTGAGGGTTTAGGGTTTAGGGCCCTAAACCCGGGTTTAGGGTTTCGGGCTGGGACTCCTACACTCGGAACCCTGAGCCTCCAGCCCCGAAGCAATGATCCCCGAATCCTATCCCGCAACCTTGAACCATTCCGAACGGGGCCTTGTAACAGTTGTGGTGGCCCGTAGGCCTGGAGAACTCCAACCGCCCCAAACCCACAAAACAGCAGACTTGCAAAGAAAAGGGGGCTGTCCTAAACCCGAAGCCCTAAACCCTAAACCCTAAACCCTGAATCCTAAATCCAAAGCCCTCAACCCTAAACCCGAAACCCTAAATCCTAAACCCTAAACCCAACTTCCCTAAGCCCCTAAACCCACAAGCCCATAAGCCCTAAACCCTAAGCCCCTAAAAATCCCAGAACAGGAAGCTGGGCCGGGCCTGGCGGAGCTCCAGTCCGAGTCCCGCGCCCTTCGGCGCGAGTTTCAGGAGGGCAATTGGGGTTTAGGGTTTAGGGTTAGGGTTTAGGGTTCAAAGGTTTGCAGGTCGGATTGCACTGTAGGGTTTGGGGTTTTGAGATAGGTTTGTGCAGTAGTTTAGGGCTTTGGGGGGTGTAGGGTTTGAGCAGAATTCTATAGAAGGCTGGCAATACGTAACTCTAGGAGGTGGTGCGACGGGGTTAAGGGGTGCTGTTAGGGTTTAAGGGTTCCTAAACCCTAACCCTAAGCCCTAACCCTAAACCTGAAACCCCTAGTTGCCCTTGCGAACTGTCGCTGCCTCCTTCCCGCCCAAGGCACGTGCGCGAGTTGCCCGCAGCCAGCTGCGAGATGAGTCGGGGCCTCGTACCCTTCGATGCCCCAACGTAGCAACGGAGACTCGGAGCTGTGGAAATTCAGTGCTGGGGGTTTAGGGTTTAGGGTGTAGGGTTTAGGGTTTAGGGCTTAGGGTTCAAGGTTTAGGGTTGATAGGGTTTAGGCTTTCGAGGGGGCTTATGGGTGGGGATCATGGGGCTTGTGGGGTGGTTGATAGGCAACAGGGTTGCCGATGGCCAGAGCACAAGCAGACGCTGAGGCTTGAGCAGCAGCTGTGTGCTGTGTGCAGAGATGCCAAGAAGGCCTACCCTTTGGATGGCTTCATGTGCGAGGTGTACGCAGAGTAGAAAGCATGGCCCCCTAACCCCTGAACCCTAAACCCTAGACCCGGTACTAGACCCCAAACACTCGACCCTAAGATTTTGGTGCAGTCGCAATAGACGCACGACTCCCATTGCAACTGTCAGGCAGTGCTGTTTCTCCCCTGCCAGCATCTATGTGTTTGCGAAGGCACATGACTTCATCCCACCAGGGCACAACAGGGAGTTGTAAAGGCAGAAATTCCAGTGCCATAATGAAGATATTAGTAGTGTACAAAAGACCACCTAGTATTATAATAGACATTTTATCGTTGACGGAATTCTTGTATTCACATGATATCTTTTATTGCCCTTCATGGCAAACTCCTAAGGCATACTAAGGCAGCAGGTACCTTGGAAGCTCTTTTGACTTAGTAAGGCGACTCAATATCTCCTAGAAACCCTAAACCGCTTTTGGGAGGCTTAAAGGGCGGGTAAAGGGGAAGGCTTGAAGTCTACGAAGTATCAAACCCTAGAAACTCTATAGGCCCGATAGCCCACCTTACTAAACCCTACTTACTACGTCAGAAAGGGCTTCCAAGATTGTTCTGGGTTTCAAAGTCTACCCCACACAACAGCAGCCCCCAACCTTAAACCCTAAACCTTAAACCTTAAACCCTAAACCCTAAATCCCAAACCTTCCTAGCATATTCCGGGGGGCTCCCCAGGTGCTCCCTAAACATGACACTACGATGGGGAGCTCCAATTGTTCGAAGCTTTAGGGTTTAGGGTCTACGGCAGGGTTCGGATGCCCTGCTTAGTCATGAACCCCCCCGCCTCCCCAAACCCTGAGCCGCAAACCCCAAACAACCCTAAACCCCAAGCCCTAAATTTTAGCCCCTAAACCCTAAACCCTAAACCCTCAAAACCCTTGAAAGAACCCTAAACCCTGAACCCTAAACTCCAAAACCTTGTAAACAAACCCATGAAACTCCCCCCCCGTGCACCTCCACGAAGTCCCTGCACGAGGTTGCCGAGGGAGGCTGCGGCCCTATCGGTGCCCCATGTGCCAGGCGGGTCCGTTTGTTTGTTTTGGGTTTTGTTCAGGGCTTCGGGGTTTTAGGGTTTGTTTTTGGGGCTTTGATGTTTTTTAGGGCTTTGGGGTTTGGGCTTAGGAGAAGTTTCAGTGTGACTTGGGGAGTTCCGTCTTCCTGTGGTTGTCATGTTTGTCATGTTGAACATGGGGGTACAGAGACGTGGTAATCAGCAACGTGGCAACAGTACTTTACTGCGACTTCCCAGGGCAAGATGCTGGCCGAATGGCATGAGCACCTCTACATGCACCTGCTCGGGAGTCTCCTACCCCATGCGTTGGTGCAGGAGCCTGTTCAGAGCCACATCTCTCGGGTTCACTTCTGAGCGGGCAAATCCTCTTTTCCCAATATCGTGTAATTTTACAGACTCTCCCTTCCAGCAAGGTTTATGGCTTTCGCCGCCGGCCTGTCAGGTTCCTTTCAGTCGGTATTGCGTCAGCAAGAGCTACCATTCATGAGACAGCTGCATCACATGGGAATTGTTTGCGGAGATGTCTGATCTCTATTTTTGAAGGAAGCGTGTGCCCTGGTAGCGGGGTGCTTGTGCGAACAGAGCTGCAGGCCTTTCAGTCCTTTCGGAACAACTTACAGCCAGAGTGTCTTCCCAACTGCAGTGCAGTTCCTACAGACACCCGGTGTCCATATGATCCTAGCACTATGCCAGGCGAAGTTGCATTAGGTCAGTTTCACTTCGGGCCTCCGACGGAAAACAAGGCAGAGAGGCTGAGCCTAAAGTTGTTTCTATTCAGTCCCAGGCGAATGCAAGGCGACGTTCATCCTCCCGCCCTTCACCCCTAAACCCTAAACCCTAAACCCTAAACCCTAAACCCTAAAGCCTAAACCCTAAACCCTCAACCCGAAACCCTAAACCCTAAACCCTCAACCGCGAGTTTTTTGCTCAAATTCTTTTTGGGTTTACCATTGCTTGGAGGAGGAGCGCCTCAGGCCGCGGGTCTGCGTTTGGGGTCCTCGGGTGGGTCAAGGGGCCAGGCAGAAGTGACCCAGCACCCCAGAATCTCAGCGCCTCGGAACCCACGCCATTAAACCTTAAAGCCCTAAACCCTAAAACCTAAAGTGCTAAAGCCCTAAACCCGAAACCCTAAACCCTAAACCCTAAACCCTAAACCCTAAACCCTAAACCCCGAACCCATTAGAACAGCATATCAGGGTGTAGACCAGGAGAAACCTCAAGTCGTGATCGCTGTCGTTTTGAGAGCTTCGGCCCTGCGAGGTGCCTCGCGAGGTGATGGCTGCTGTCCGCCCCTGCCCTCTGCCATACTTCTGACATATATATATACATATACACTATGTATGTATGTATGTATGTATGTATGTATGTATGTATGTATGTATGTATGTATACATATATATATATACATACACATAAGTAGATACATTCATATGCGCAGCACACGCTCGTGCATGTGGTGTTGCTGCTGTTGCACCTCTTGGCGTGTTTTGAGGGCTGGGGTTTGGAGTCAAGTGCTCCGGGGCGGTTCGTAGAACTGATGCCTAGAAGGGAGTAGTTCGGAATGGGGCAGGGGATCCCTACGGCAATCTGCCCTAAACCCTAAACCCCAACAAGGTTGGGGTGTGAAGATGTGTGTGGCCTCCCTTCGAGGGCCACACCCCCGACATGATTGTTCTGGTTGGCTTTTGATACTAGAGTTTAGGCTTCAGGGCCTCGAGTGATGCCGAAGGCATTGAGGGTGAGCTTGGTGTAGGTTTCCGGTGTAGTCGAAGCGGGCAGATCTCTCCACCCCAAGTCCCTACAACAGGGTCTACTATGGCTTCTTACCCTATGTAGTCTTATAATGTGCGTTCTTTTTTGTACCTATTTTGTATTGTAATTTCGTAAGAATATCTTATATCATATTGTTTTCCGCTACAGCATATCACACCTATGTGGAACTGTATGGTAGTGCGTCGTGCTGTATTGTATTCACAAGACCCTAATCGACCCAGGCTTGGCTCAAAATTCGAAACATCCAACAGCCTGCAGACTCCTCCCACAACAAGCAATGCTGACTCCCAGAGAGAGCGCGTGCCCAAAGCAAAGCAACGTAGAGCGCATTCTGGGTCTGGGTTCTCCGTGGAAGTTGCGAGGGCATCAGCTCATACAGGCCGGCGGCCATGTAGGGCCAAGGTAGGGTTGGAGGCTTAGGTTGGGGAGTTGTTTGTTGAGGGCTAAGGGGTTCAGGGGGTAAGGGGATTTAGGGGTTGTGGGTTGTGGGGGTCAAGGGGGTTGAGGGCTTTAGGGGTTTTAGGGGGGTTTAGGGTTTCTTTTTGGAGGTTTAGGGTTTAAGGATGATTTGGGGTTGCGTGGTTTTTAGTTAGCTTCGAAGGGTCTCTCGGTTCGGGAGACCCTGAACCCTAAACTCTAAAAACCCTAAACCCTAAACCCTGAACCCTAAACAGGTCAGCAGGCAATGGCTGCTGTTGCCCTCGCCCCGCCGATCGCCGTCACATCGGTGTCGGGAGTCGGGGGCCCACAGCGACCTTTTTCTAGGTCTCTATTTCAGGGTTTAGGGTTTAGGGTTTAGGGTTTAGGAGCATGTTCCGAATCGTTTGGAGTTTTTTTATTGCCTAGAGCAACCCCAAAGTGCAAAGTACTGTACATACCTGGGCGGCAAGATAGCTGGAGGCAAGGTGAGAACCCCTGGTGACATGGCATGCTTGAAGGTTCATGGGTTGTTATGAGTGGGGTTTAGGGTTTAGGGGTTAGGGTTTAGGGTTTGGGGTTCAGGGTTTAGGGGGGGGTTATAAGTACGCATCCCCACTTAGAACTACAAGTAGACCCGTCTGTCTGTGGCTGTTCGGAGCTGTCGTTCCAAGCAAGGGTCCTAAGCCCCGAATTTCTTGAACCCGAATCTGAAACCGGTTCTGAAGCCCTTCAGCACAGGGCAGGTTGCCAGGCTCTAGGATTTAGGGATTTGGGGTACCCTGAGCCTAAACCCTAAACCCTAAACCCTAAACCCTAAACCCTAAACCCTAAATCCGAAAACCCTAAACCCTAAACCCTAAACCCTAAACCCTAAACCCTAAACCCTAAGCCCTAAACCAAACCACAAAACAAACATCTTGGGAAACCTCCACAGGGTGCGCAGGCGAAAAAGAAGAACCGACTGGGGGTGCGGTCGCAGCCCTGTTCTTTCTCTTCAAGCAGTCCGCAACATTCACACGAAGGTCATGTAGTAAGTAGCAATCCCACGATGACCAGGACAAAGAGAACAGCCAGACAAAGACGGTGAAAGCAACCCACACTCTCTTCTTCTTACTCCGCTTTTGGGAGCTCTGAGGTGGGTGCTTGGCCCGTCTTTCCCCCCCCCTTATTTTTTTTTGGTATCTGCCATGGACCAAAGCAGCACGGCGCCCCCGGCCCTGGATGCGGGGGAGCTCCGCTCTGTGTGCCAGACGTGTACAGTCAAGGAGCTGAAGCAGCTCCTGAGGCACCTCGCTTGCTGTGGGTTAGTAGGGAATGGAAATGAGGTACCCTATAGAGTCCCTTAAAGGGTATCTTATAGGGGATATAGGGTACCCTCATTCCTTCATTCCCTACTAAGCAACAGTAAGAATCGAACATCCGCGAGCAGAGGGGGAGGTCTAAGTTTAGGTGTTGCGGTTTTGGGCTTGAGGTTCTGGTCTTTTTGCGGAGTAGGATTTGGTGTGAGGGCTTTTGGGAAGAGGGTGGGTTGTAGCAGCTCTCTCCCTAGTTAGGGCCTTGATCACCTGAAGCCGAAGTCTTGAAGAACTAAACCTTGAACCCTAAACCCGAAACACTAAACCCCAAACCCTAAACCCGAAACCCTGAACCTCCTCTCCAGCGGCCCGAGCCGCCATCCCTGAAACCCTTCCCTACTTGGAGGTTCATGGTACTTCTTAACCAATTATAACTTATAACTGTACTAATAACCATATTAGGGCACTTAAGGAGGTTATCAGTGCGTTTTAAGTACAGTTGGTTAATTTTAACGCTACGCGACCCGCCTCGGCCCGGCCCAGCGCATCCGCGTGAGCATGGTGATTCCGCAGCGCCCAAGTCGCTGGACCCCAAGCAATAAGGGTTGGGTTCAGGGTTTAGGGTTTAGGGTTCCGGGTTTATGGTTTATGGTTTAGTTTAGGATTGAGGGCTTAGGGCTCAAGGTTCACGTTTTGGGGTTTAGGGTTTTTTTGGGAGCAGGGTTCAAGACGGTTGGGCTTGGATTGATCGTAGGGTTGAGCCAGGCCCCTCATTGGGGTAGGGGGAGTGGGGGGGGAACGGGGGCAGGGGAAGGGGGCAGAGGGAGGGGGGGGGGGGAGTGCTTCGGGCTTAAGGTTTGAGATGTAAGGTTCAGGGTTTAAGCTCAGACTCAAAAAACCCGCTCACCAACTGCAGTGCGGGGAGGGGGGAGGGGGGGGGTGGGTGCTTCCGGGAGGGTAGGGGGGGTGGGGGGGGGGGGGGGGGGGGGGGGGGGGGGGGGGGGGGGGGGGGGGGGGGGGGGGGGGGGATGGGCGCCTGCTGGGAGGGGCTTGAACTGCCTCTGGTCCTGGCGAACCGTCCGCTTGCGGACCCCGGTTTCCTGGGGGGGGTACCCATTTGAGGCAAAAAAAGGGGTCCGAAAAGCGGCTTTGGGTGTGGGGGGAGGATTTGGAGGGGGGTGCCTGTTCTGACAACCTATACACCTCCGGCCCGAGGCCTCGGCGGATTTGCGGCCGTGCTCACACCAGTTGAGCCTCCGGCCCTCAAGCCAGCGCGTCGAAACAGAAAACTCCGCCTTTCACAAACACCTTATGTGAGCAAGCACCCCCAGCCATTCAATTAAGCAAGGGGTGGCACGAATGCCCAAAACCCTGTAAAACGATGGGAACACTTGAAAAGCGACACCCCTAGGTTATGAACCATTGGGTGTGCTATAGCGACACCTACAAACATCAAGCAGCTCTTGTTGCGTCCATTAGCACCTCGAGCCCAGCCGCTCATGTGGCTTTTGGTTGGGGGGGGTGGGGGGGAGGGGGGGTGGGTTGGGGGGGGTGGGGGGGGGGGGTAGGGGGGGGGGCAGGGGGGGGTGGGGCGGGTTGGGCGCGGGTGAAAAAGGGGGGGGCCCTGCTGGGAAGGGCTGCAACTGCCTCTGGTCCTGGCGAACCATCCGCTTGCGGACCCTGCTCACCTAGGGGGGGTACCCATTTGAGGCAAAAAAAGGGGGAGTGACTGCCTATACACCTTCGGCCCAAGGCCTCGGCGGATAAGTACCGTGAACCTCCAAGTACACCCCTAAACCCTAAACCCTAAACCCTAAACCCTAACCCTAAACCCTAAAACCCTAAACCCGAAAACCCTAAACCCTAGACCCTAAACCCTAAACCCTAAGCCCTACATTTCGAGAGGAATCTGGCGGTTGATCTCAACGGCTACGTGGAGAAGTCCGAGCTCGTGGACGCCGCTGTCCGCCGCCTGGACCCCGACGCGACGCTCCGCTGCACCACTCCTTTCTGGCCCTTAGTAGGGTTTAGGGTTAAGGGTTGAGGGTTTAGGGTTTCGGGTTTCGGGTTTAGGGCCTCATGGGCTGGTAGGGAGCGAGGGAACAAGGAACTTGCAGGGGTTCCTTGAAGGGAACGATGGGGGTACCTGCAATTTTCCGTGCGTCACCAATAAAGTCCAGGGTTCGGGATCCCTAAGCCACCGAAGCCTTAGCAGAAGAAGTCCTGTGACAGAAGGTGCCCATTTGGGACCCCCTAAACCCTAAACCCTAAACCCTAAACCCTAAACCCTAAACCCTAAACCCTAAACCCTAAACCCTAAACCCTAATCCCTTCTGAGGAAGGCCAAGCTGCGATTGTTCAGCTACTGCCGGATTTGCTGCAACTGGTGCCTGGATGACGACGTCTGGCCCCTCACGTGCGGCCACCTCGCCTGCTTCCAGTGCTTGGGCATGTACCTCGAGAGCCAGATCCAGGCCATGAAGTCCTCCCTGAAGTACCACCTTCCCTGCATCTACGCCCCGGCCTGCTCCCATGAGATGCGGTTTCAGGATGCCACGTCCATGAGCGTGGCCCTGCGGAACCTCTGGAAGGACCTCCAGCAGCGCGAGCGCCTCATCCGCGACGCGAAGTACGAGGTCCTGGAGTGCCCCCAGCCGGGCTGCGTCGGAGTCGCCTACAAGGAGCGCGGCCGGCGCACAGCCATGTGCTTCCTGTGCGAGCACACCTGGGAAGCCAACGCCAATGGAACCGACGAAGACGGCCAGAAGCCGAAGTTTGACGGAACCCGGGTTCGCAAGTGTCCGAAATGCCAGGCGCCGATCGAGAAGAACGGGGGCTGCAATCACATGCACTGCACGCGCTGCGGCCGGCACTTTGATTGGGCAGCGAGCCAGTCGGCGGGAGATCCCAATGCAGCTCCGAGCTTTGCGGGGGCTGGCTCTGCACCCCGGGGTTTCGAAACCTTCAACCATGCGGAGGACATCTTCAGGCAGTTTTTTGGCGGCAATGGGCACCCAGAGACGGAGGCACACCGCGCCCACCGTGCCCACGCGGCCCAGCACGCCGCCCAGGCGGCGCAGGCCCAGGCGGCCCACCAGGAGGCCCACGCCCAGGCGCAGCAGAGGGCGCGTGAGGCACAGGCCCGAGCCACCGCCGGTCCAGCACCCCAGGCGTGCGGCGTTGGCTAAGTCGGCTCAGTCTAAGTTATCTGCCACATATATTCCTACAGTGTTCAAAAAGTAGGTGCCCTACTGTATACTCACTCCCTTAAAGGCTCTAAAGGGGGAACGTCAGGCACCTCATTCCCTACGAATGAGGGCGCAGTAAGAAAATGATACGACTAGGCTGCAAGGCAAGGTTCTCGCTTCATACTCCAACGAAACACTGTGATTCCTCACGACAGGGTTTCCTTGTCCAGCACGAAGCTTGTGCGACAGCACCGCTATTTTTTACGCGGACCACGATGACAGAACTGTACACAGGGTTTTCATACAACCGAATTATTGGCTCCCAGTTCCCCCCCTTCAGGCTGTGAATCCAGGAGCCTTCATCAACCAATTGGGCAACATGTTCGGTGTCGACGCGGAGATGCAACGGCAGGCGCAGCAGGCGGCCCAACAGGCGGCTCAGCAAGCAGCCGCGGTCCACCAGGCTACCAGACAGGCGCGTCATCCTTGTGCTCGGGTTTAGGGTTTAGGGTTTAGGGTTTAGGGTTCAGGGTTTAGGGTTTTTTAGGGTTTAGGGTTTTTTAGGGTTTAGGGTTTAGGGTTTAGGGTTTAGGGTTTAGGGGCGCGTGGGGGTCCCTGGCTCAGGTCTTTGGAGCAAGCCGGGCTGCACCCGGTCCGACCCCGTCAGCTGAACGGGCAGCAAACAGCACAGAACAGCCCGAGTGCACTTTGATGTGAGAAAAACAAGATCTGCCTTCTGAAGTCATTCCTCCATTACCCCTAAACCCTGAACCCTAAACCCTAAACCCTAAACCCTAAACCCCAAACCCTAAACCCTAAACCCTAAACCCTAAACCCTTTCAGTTGACACGCTGCCGAGGTCTTGAGCTTGCTGGAAGAGCAAGAGAATCAGCTACGATGTGCTGCCCTCCAGCGCTTGAACGAGGTCGCTAAATTCTGAACCCTACGCCACCTATTTAGGGTTTAGGGTTTAGGGACGCCAAACATCGTTGCCCTGAAGGCACCGCAGTGCACTTGGGGGTTGCTTCTGTAGCAGCTTTCACAAGCTTTTGTGCGTTCGCAGGTGGTGGATCAGTTCTGGCACGAGATTGCTGACTACCTGAATGACATTGAAACGCTGTATGAGGAGCGACAGTACCCTAAACCCTAAACCCTAAACCCTAAACCCTAAACCCTAAACCCTAAAACCTAAACCCTAAACCCTAAACCTGATAACCCTCAACCCCAAACCCTAAACCCTAAGCCCGAAACCCTAAACCCTAAACCACAAACCCTTCTATTGCATTGTGCGATCGCTTAAGATATCCTAAGCCCTAACACTCCATGAGATCAGAGAGGACCCTTCCTTTCCGGGGCGCGGGATGGCAGCGTTGGTGGCCTCCAAGGTGTTCTACCATTTAGAGGAGTGCGGCTCTCAGGGTTTAGGGTTTAGTGTATAGGGTGTTCTACCATTTAGAGGAGTGCGGCCCTTAGTCCTTACGGCTTGGCTTGGGGAGTTTCGGGTTTTGGGGATTTGGGGTTGAGGATTGAGGAGTTCGGTTGGTTTTAGGGAGGTCAGGGTTTAAGGGTTTAGGGTTGTGGGTGCTTTAGTCACGGGCTTGCCTCTTTGGGCGTCAAAAGACGCACCTGGGGGTGGATGTCAATTGCGGACCTTCTTGTGGTTTCGTACAGTACAGGAACGTATACCGCTAGGCTGCCCCAGAACCCACCCATCAATTAGAGAATCCGACAATCCGGTACCAGTAAGGCTCAGTAAGGCTCGGGGTTGACTCAGAGAAGAAGGGGGCCAAAGCCGCCCAACCCTAAACCCTAAACCCTCAACCCTAAACCCGAAACCCTAAACCCTAAACCCTAAACCCTAAACCCTAAACCCTAAACCCTAAACCCTACGCCAACTTCAGGTATGACGACGCCTTGCGTTTGGCGTTAGGCGCAGGCTTCGGCTTGGGATGCCTGGGCCTCCCCCATCCTTGCCAGTGGTCGAGGTTGCAGCTTCTCTGGGCTGCTCAAAAGCAAGTGAAGGTAAAGGGAGCGTAACTCGACCCCTCCGCCCCTTGTCCGAAGGTCCCCTCCTTGCATCCCCTTTAAACCCTAAACCCTAAACCCTAAACCCTAAACCCTAAACCCTAAACCCTAAACCCTAAACCCTAAACCCTAAACCCGAAACCCTAAACCCTAAACCCTAAACCCTAAACCCTAAACCCCTCTGTCTGGGATTTGGAAGACGTCGTCCTATTCTCTGAAAGCCCGAGCCATCCCCAAGCTCAAGTCGCTCAAAAGACATGATAATATTTGTAATAATAAGAATAAGAATAAGAGTAAGAATAAGAATAAGAATAAGAATAAGAATGAGAATAAGAATAAGAATAAGAAGAATAGTAATAAAAATAGAAATTTTCATAATAAGAACAATCGTAGTAATAACAATACAAATCAGAATACTAGTAGTATTCATAAATATAATCGTAGTAGTACTGATAAGCGAAAGGCCTAGGCTCGAACAACAGCCTGAGGCTAACGATTCCCAGGCTCTTTTTGGCTCATGTTTATCTCGAGCCCACCCTGCCACACCCGAGATCAACCTATGGTATCCGGCGAAAAACCCGAAACCCTAAACTCTAAATCCCAAACCCTAAACCCTAATCCTCCTGGAATCCCTTTGGAGGCCAACTCTTTGACCTGAACCAGCGGTCCGAGTACGTGGTCGGGTAGCCTTGTTTGGTTCTGCGTCTTCAGCCATGTGGCCGGGGGTTTTGGAGAGTCTAGATTTTTGAGGTGGGGGGTTCAGGGGTTTTCAGGGTTGGTTTTCTGGGCCATTTGGGATTCAAGGCGTTCTTTCAGTTTGTGGTGATGTTGAGCTTGGGTGCTTGAGAGCTTCGGGCTGTTTCCTGCACGCCGATTGGCCCCTAAACCCCAAACCCTCCTGGTTTCAGAGGTGAAGTTGAGCCGCCCCCCACACGGAAGCAGCCGCTTTGCACGTCAGGAGAAGATCGTTGCAGTCGCCATCGACGAGTACGTGGCATGCCTTATATTCATGTGGACTACAGGATTAGGGTTTAGGGTTTAGGGTGCAGGGTTTGCGGTTCAGGGTTTAGGGTTACAGGAGCCAATATCCCTCAATTAAGGAATCTTCCGTACAGCATGGCAGGATCTTCTATTTCATTTCAAAGAATCTTCCCTAACCAAGAGATCTTTTTGGATCTTTTGGGACGAACGTTCTCTCTGCTCCGGTCAGAACCCCTAAACCCTAAACCCTAAACCCTAAACCCTAAACCCTAAACCCTAAACCCTAAACCCTAAACCCTAAACCCTAAACCCTAAACCCTAAACCCTAAACCCTAAACCCTAAACCCTAAACCCTAAACCCTAAACCCTAAACCTAAAGCCCTAAACCTAATTCTAAACCCTAAACCCTACCAGCGCCAGCAGGTTGGGTGTGGAGCTGATCTTCGTTGAGGGGTGGGCCCCGAGATTTTACGACCCCTGAACCTTAAGCCCTCAACCCCTTCGACACCCTTTCCTACCATTTGCGTCAGGACTCCAGATAACAATCCTATTTTGGCCATAAAGAGTTACAAGTTGTAAGGAAGAATACCCGGGCTGCCCTCCCCGGTGTCTCTGCCGCGCTGCAAAGGTCAAGTTGACGGGAGACAACTTTGAGTTGGAGATGAAGAAGAAGGACACCTAAGCCTGAACCCTCAGCCCGAAACCCTAAGCCCTAAGCCCTAAGCCCTAAACCTTAAACCCTAAACCCGTAACCCTGAACCCTAAACCCTAAAGAAACCCTAGACTCGACGCCTCAGCGGCGAGGTTTCACCCACCCTAAGCCCTCCGTCTCGCGCCCCTGAGGTTTGCGTGCCAAGCCCCTTCTCTAAACAGTTCAGAGATGCAGGTCTAGGGCAAACAACTTAATTAACCCTAAACCCGAAACCCTAAACCCTAAACCCTAAACCCTAAACCCTGAACCCGAAAGGGCCCTCGGCCTCGCAGGACCCGGTGCCCATCGACTCGCGCTTGGAGGACGTGGTGAATCGGATGTTTGGGCGCTGCCTGGAGGACCCACTGCCTCAAAGAGGGGACGTCGGCTTTCGTGGCTTCGTGCAGGGTTTAGGGTTTAGGGTTTAGGGTTTATGGTTCAGCATCTCTGGTCCAAGCATTCACTAGTTGAGCAGCTTTCCGGGCCAAAGGGGAATACCCACCCGCCCATTGGGTCCCACACCATTAGGAAAATAATCTAATCCTCTTCTTCCCTAGCCATCCCAGTCCCTCTCTTAGACCCTCGCTCGTCAACCTCTCTCTACCTATATAAATTTAAACCTTAAGGTGGAGCCAAAACCGGACCCCCCCCCCGGACCCCTTCAATTTTAAAGGCAAAACTGTAAAAATCCAAAACTCTAGGTAGCCAGTGAAAAACCTGAACCCTGGCCCCTCGACGCCAGTGAAAAACCCGGTAGTCCAAAGCCAGTGAAAAACCGAACCCTGGCCCCCCGACGCCAGTGAAAACCCGAACCCTGGCCCCTCGAGGCCGGGGAAAAAACTGTGAAAAACCTGAACCCTGGCGCCCCGACGCCCGAGAAAGGTCTTATTGTGTTTCCGAAGCCAGTGAAAAAACCGAACCCTGGCACCCCCCGACGCCAGTGAAAAACCTGAACCCTGGCCCCTCGAGGCCGTGAAAAAAAAAAAACCAGTGAAAAACCTGAACCCTGGGGCCCCGCCCGAGAAAGGTCCTTAGTGGGTTTCCGAAGCCAGTGAAAAACCTGAACCCTGGCCCCCCCACGCCAGTGAAAAACCCGAACCCTGGCCCCTCGAGGCCGAAAACCTGAACCCTGGGGAAACCCGAACCCTGGTCCCTCGAGGCCGTGAAAAAAAAACAGTGAAAAACCGGAACCCGAACATCAAGTTCATGTTTTTCTCCGGCGTCGGGGCCCAGGGTTCAGGTTTTTCACTGGTTGTTTTTTTCATGGCCTCGAGGGGCCAGGGTTCGGGTTTTTCACTGACCGTCGTGGATTTAGGCAAAAACCTTCGTGGATTTAGGCAAGGTACGGGGTCACACCAGTGAAAAACCTGAACCCTGGCCCCTCGAGGTCGTCAAACCCGTACCTTGCCTAAATCCACGAAGGTTTCTTGCCCAAATCCACGAAGGTTTTTGCCCAAATCCACGAAGGTTTGTGCCCAAATCCACGAAGGGGTTCAACATTATAATCATTATAATGTTAATGGCCTTCGTGGATTTAGGCAAGGTACGGGGTCAAAACCAGTGAAAAACCTGAACGGCCGTCAAACCCCGTAGCTTGCCTAAATCCACGAAGGCTTTTGCCCAAATCCACGAAGGTTTTTGCCCAAATCCACGAAGGTTTTTGCCCAAATCCACGAAGGGGTTTAACATTTAAATATATGTAGTGGGAGAGGTTTAGGGTTTATGGTTTAGGGTTTTGGGCTTAGGGTTTAGGGCTTAGAGTTTAGGGTTTAGGGTGAGGGTTGAGCGTTGGAGGTATTCAGGGTCCCCGGTTTACGAGCCATGCTGCTTGTTTGGACCCTCAGAGCTTGAACTTAATGCCCTGACCACCAAGAGCCAGGCCCTAAGATCGGCGGGGAGCCCTTAGAGGGCCAGGGTTTAGGGTTTAGGGTTTAGGGTTTACGGTTTAGGGTTTAGGGTTTAGGATTTAGGGTTTAATGTTGACTTGACATTAATAAAGCCCACTACAATTGTAAAATCCCGCTGCCCGGAACACAATATTGTAACCCGCCACAATTATAAAATCCGACCCGGGAAATCCGGTTTTTACGGGCGTGGTGCTACTACCTAATACTAAAACTAATAGTACGTCCTACCAGGATTTAGGCGAACATTATTGAGGAGGCCCTGGCCGGAGAGATTGATCAATGAAGGGGGGCGGGGGGGGTTTATTAATGCGAAGTCAACATTAGGGTCTCGGGTATCGTTTATCACCTATATAGACTTTAAAGTCGCCCTCCAGGACAAGGCCTACAAGCAGGGTCTCGGGATGGCTTTGGAGACGCGGCGCCTCGACAAGGCTCCGCCCTCACGCCCTCACAACCCGCACGACCACCGGTGCTACGAGTTTTCTTTAGGGTTTGGGGTTTGGTGCTGCTGCTTGTGCGTATGCTGCTAGGACTTGTGTGCCAGTGCAATAGCAACGACGAGTATGACCGGCAATGCTGCTATCGTGCCACGACATGTTTTGTTTTATTTCTGTTTTCGTTTTTACCAGTAGCCAAGTAGAAGGCTGACTATTCATCTACCGCATTGATGACTCACAGCGACTGCAGGGTATGACATGTTTCTTCTTTCCTTCTTCGGTACAATCCTGAGAAGTCCGGGAACCGTTGGGCTCTGGGTTTCCAGCCCGGCAGGTCACTGAATTCATCAAGCAGAGTGACACCATGGCTGACATGCTGGAGTTGTTTCCTCAGCCTTCAGTATGACACAGACAAGACAGACAAGGGTCTATTGATAGTTCCACGAATCAGTTTTTGGGGAAGTTGTGTCACATGCAAGGGTTTGGAGCGCAGGACACAGCGAATGGTACTGTCTACGGCAACGTGCGTAGGATTCTTTGAGCCCACAGCGCGGACGCGCTTCGTGGTACGCAGCGCCGCTTTGCGTCGTGAGTAGGAGCCCTCGGAAGAATCCACCCACTCGCCTTTTCTTTTCTTGCAACGATGCAATGCTTCCCGAGAACCCCCTCCCCCACTCCTTGTCGTCCGCCTCTTTTGTCGGAAGTTTGCCCACGATTGAGGTACGCGCAGCTCTCGGCCATGACCTTGCTCACCTCCAAAGCCTTCAGGGAGCGCGTCCTGAAGGCCAAAGATCTGCGGACCTTGCCTTTGGCTTGAAAATTTGAAGGAGAGGTTGCAAGAGTTGCTTATATATATATATATGTACTAAACAATCTCTTTCTTTAATATATATATATATATGTGCTTGTTGCTTCAGAAGGAAAGAGTTGCTTAATGAGGCAAGAGGCTTTGGAACATACCGAAAGGCTTGCGCCCGATTCAAGTGCGAGGCTTGCCAAAGGTTGTGGAACGGCCAGATGGTCTGTGGTTTCGTGGTTGCCTTCAGCCGATCAAATTGTTGTAGTGACCCTGAAACCCTACACCATCACCCCTGAACCCAAAGCCCGATAAAGTGCAAACCCTGAAGCCCTAAACCCCTAAACCCTAGCCCTAAACCCTAAACCCTAAACCCCTAAACCCCTAAACCCTAAACCCTACAAACCTCAACCCCCGCATGCCCACGCCCTGCCGCAGGCCCTAGTCGAGATTCACACCTCGGTCCAGGCCCAGCCGCATCCCGGATCCCGGGTTAGGGTTTAGGGTTTGGGTTTTAGGGTTTAGGGTTTAGGGGTTTAGGGTTTAGGGGTTTAGGGTTTAGGGGTTTAGGGTTTAGGGGTAAGGGCTAGCGCACAAATACAAGCGGAGAAAGGCACCCTCATCAGTTCTCTAAATTATGGTCCCTTCGGGGGGTTAACTGTTATAAACGACGGGATCAGAAGTCTGCGAAATATCCAAAGGGGCCTTATGCAGCTGGCATTTTTTGGGGTTGTCGACTGCTATTCAGGGTTCGTTGGGGGTTTAGGGTTTAGGGTGGCTTATCTACGGCTTATTTTTGGGTCATCGGTCGCTTGCTTGGCCCTAACGCCCGAACCCCTGAACCACAAACCCCAACTCTTAAAGCCTCACCCCCATGGAGCCCCAGAAGCCCGGACTCTTAGCCCCAAGCCACTTTAGATTTCTTAAAGTTGCAGGGAACCCTAAACCCCAAACCTTAAACCCGAAACCGACTTAGGGTTTAGGGTTTAGGGTTTAGGGTTTAGGGCTAGGGTTTAGGGCTAGGGTTTCGGGCGTTTCGGTCGTGGGGTCTAGGGTCTCTTCGTGCTTTCCCCGCACCTCCAGGAGGTGAACCTTGCAGCGCTGGCGCAGTGCTACTTCATCCTTGGTGAGCCGGGTGAGGCATCGATGCGGGCTTGGAGAGAGGGAGCTAAACCCTAAACCCTAAACCCTAAACCCTAAACCCTAAACCCTAAACCCTAAACCCTAAACCCGTAACCCTCAACCCTCAACCCTAAACCCTAAACCCCAGGTCGCCAAAATTCTGAAGGACTTGCTTGGACGCCCGGAGAAGGACCGCATCACTTCTGCTTTTGAGTCTTCTGTTCGGAGTGTTGCAGAGCGAGGGTTTACTGTACCGTCAACGCTCAAGCCTGCAAACCCTAAACCCTAAACCCTAAACCCTAAACCCTAAACCCTACTCCCTAAAATGCTTAGAGCCGAGTCTTGTCTTTGTGCATTTTTCGTATGGACAAGGCCACAGGACGGGAGCCACTTCTGAACATCTAAGTGGCCATGGGCGTCGCTTCAAGACATTACCGTTTAGGGTTTAGGGTTTAAGGGCTTAAGACAGGTGCGTTTTCGTTGTTTTGGGTTGTGGCCATGATCGCAAGCTGCTCCGTCAAGCTCATCCTGCTCGAGGAGTAAGTAAGCTGTTTGACAGCGATATGGAAGGGTCTTACATGAGGGCCCCCTGAAGTATGCGCCCACATTTTTAGGGTACCCGACAAAGGAGACCATAAATTTGAGAACTGTCACTTTATGTATACGTTTCTGTTTGAAGAAGGGTATTTACGTGGGTCATCCGCGGCAACTTTGCAGGAGGGCCGCGCGCTTGCGTACCAGATTGGCTTCGACATCGTCGCGCCCTTGGACGGTATCTGTGACTAGTGTTTAAACATTTTGAATCAGTTTAATCCATGTAGTACTTGCGCTTAAGGTGTTTATTGCTGTCTTTAGGATTTGATTATCGTACTACTGGTTATTCCCCTGTAAAATCTTTACAGAAGGGGCTGCGCGGACTGCCGGAACCTTGACCCACACATCAGCCCTCGTGGGGGCGGGGGGCGAGGTTGACAACGAGAGCCAGCACTTCTGCAACGCAGTTCTCTCATCGCCACTTCTCAAGGTCAAGGAGCCCCAGGGCCTGCGGTTGGCATAGAGTGAGCGCGCGAGAGCCACAGCTATGGTTTGGGGCTTAGGGTTTGTAGGGTTTGTAGGGTTTGTAGGGTTTGTAGGGTTTGTAGGGTTTCGGGTTTAGGGTGGCCCGGGTTTAGTGTTTAGGGTCTAATTCCCTCAGCCTTCCCATGCGGAGGCCCGCCTTGCCCGGAGGTAGAAGTAGTGCTGGTCACTGAGACAACGCCCCTGGCAGTCACGAAAGCAACAGAAACTCTCGCTCTGCTGTGCTTGGTCGGATTCCTACTGTTCGAGACCCATTCAAGCTCCTGCACCCCAAGGCCCCCAAATCCAAAACCCTGAAAACCCCCCGAAGGAGCCAGCGCCGGAGCCCCCTGCGGCGCCTGCCGCGCCCGCGGAGGGTACGGCTTCGGGCTCAGGGCCGATGCCTTTTGCGTGGTCTAGGGGATTTGAAGGGGCTGTTAAGTGACGTTCAGGGGGGTTTTGTGGTTGAAGGAAAGAAAACGCTTAAGGGGTTTAATTTGGGGATGTTCACGGGTTTAATGGTTTACAAGCGGTGTAGTGGTTTTGGGTTCAAGGGTCTCGGGTTTCAGAGTATGGAGGCTCAGGGGTGCAGGGTTAAAGTGGTTTAAGTTAAAAGGTTTGGTTGTACAGGAGCCCGTATATCCCCAGCAGTGGTAGAATTTAGGCTTGCTCGGGATCGAGGAATCTTTGAGGAAGGTGAATGCAGTTTCAACCAGAAATCGGAAGTCTGGCTTTGCAAGTATGACCGCGTGTTCGGACTCCGCTTCCTGAGCAGTCGACCTACCAGATTGCTTGAGTTGGTGGTGGTGTGGGTTGTTGGCTGTCTTTACCCACTGCCTGACCTACTATACTCCGACTGGCTGACTGATTGAGATGGAGTTTGCCAAGAGAGGGCCGGAGATGTCGGACAGCAGGGATCTTCTGGGAACAGCACAAAGAAGGGACAGTGGAGCTAGGAGAGATGTAGGGTAGACCGCAGCTCAGATCCTTCTCATCAATGGGATGCGGGAATCTAGGCGTGGGCTTTTAAACATCGACTGGGGCGTTTTAAAGGGCTAGTTTGTGCAATTGCTACTAATGGTTTTTAGTGACTTTAGTGGTAGTCATGTCCTGGCCCTAAGTCCTGGACCCTAAGCCCAGAAACCCTAAAGCCCAAACCCCAGTCGAGCATGCCCACGTCCCCGGGCCCCAGCCCCCGAAAGCCCAGACCCCTAAGCACTAAACCCTCAGCCCTCTACAGCCCTAGAACCCCAAACCTCATAATCTAGGGGTCGGAACGATTACCAGTAGCATCCCCTCATGGTCCCTATATATATATATATTTCTACTATAATAACCCCCCCCCCCCCAAAACAAAAAAACAACGATGCGAATTATTTCGGCCTCTATCTTGCCCTCAACACCTGGAGCTTGGGATGCTCACCCCCTAGACTAGCAGTCCTGAATAGGGATTCTACTAGGGGGTACTATCATCCCTAGTAAAGACTGTTAGTATAAACCCTAAACCCTAAACCCTAAACCCTAAACCCTAAACCCTAAACCCTAAACCCTAAACCCTAAACCCTAAACCCTAAACCCTAAACCCTAAACCCTAAACCCTAAACCCTAAACCCTAAACCCTAACCCTCTAAACCCTAAATCCCACACCCTCAAGTCGAAGCCTCCCCTCCAAGGAAGCTGCGCCTGAGGCGGCCGAAGCTCCTCCCCCGGCCGCTCCCCCGGCCCGGACCACGGCAGACCTCACTCGGGAGGTTTAGGGTTTAGGGTTTAGGGTTTAGGGTTTAGGGTTTAGGGTTTAGGGTTTAGGGTTTGGGGTTTGGGGTTTCGGGTTTAGGGTTGCTTTCTTGTTGGAGTCGAACTGTTTAGCGTCTAGTCTTTCTGTCACGGTGGGCCTGATTTAGAGCAGCACCCCCTTGGTGTCTTGGCGGGGTTGAGTTTGGGCTGAGCCCTAAACCCCGGACCTTTGGCTTAGGGTTCATGAAGGCTTGAGGCCGGGGGCTTCCTAATGCCTTGTCAGCACACCTGCCTTTCGGGTTTGGGGACCCAAGGGCCGAAAATTTAGGTCGGCCAGCCCCTCCGCCAGACCTTTTTGCCCCATGAGGTGGATGAGGGCCCGGCCATGTCGGATCAGGTGCTCCGCGCATTCCCCGTTGACCCTTGAGATTTTTGATGAGAGTCAGTGCTGTGGAGGTGTCAAGATCATACCCATCTGTAAAGCCCTGGGCGATTGTCCATTCAATGCCTCGGATCCTGAAACCCTAAACACTAAGCTCCAGGGAGCCACTTGCCAGGAGAAGGAGGACCTGACTTTGCTTCGGAAGATTTTGTCGGGGCGCTCGTCCATTGACCTGCCGCCGGCTCAGGTGAAGCTGATGTTTGGGGGCGTAGGGTTTAGGGTTTAAGGGGGCCTTGCGATGAGCCCTTAGCCCCTGCAAGCTACACCCCCGAGACCCGCCTGAATCACAATACCCTGAATCCCAGAATGGAAGTTGTAAAGTCACAGACTTATAAACTCCAAACCTTGATTCACGATAAGCAAAACCTGCTAAACTCTATGTTGTTTTTCGGTCCTTTCAAGGACCTTGGAGCTAGTACGAAGAAGGCCTCGGCTCTCGAGCGAGGGCAGGGTTTAAGGCCTTTACTACAGGCCAGCCCCGAAAGCCCTCCTTGACCTTCAAAACCCCTCCAAAACATCCCGCTGCAACAGAATTGCCTCGGGCTCATTCCCACCTCCGACAACAGGTAAGTGCAGGTAATGAGCCCGAGGCTGCTTGCATCCTAGAGCATGTCACACCGGCCATGCGAGAATGGGGACCAGTGCCGCGCCTGGCTTCGCCTGAAGTCCTATGAAGTCTCACAGGCGGATATCGACCACGTTTCCTGCTGGGCACACCCTCATCCCCCATGCAGATACGGCGACCAGTGCCGGGCATGGCTTCGCCTGCAAGAGGGCGGATACAGGCTTGACGATCAAGCTCACGTCGCCGTCTACGACCACGGGGGGCGCGCACGTGGGGACCGGGCGATCTTCGAAGGGATGGCCAAGTTCGCCACCATGGAGTTCACCGATGCCTTCAAGATGTCCGAGAGGCTTCGAGAGGCTGCCTCCGTCGCGGCGACGCGCAGCCTCTGGGAGGAGGTCAAGGTGAACGGCTACGCCCGCGTGCTCGAGGTGAGCGGCCACCCCTCAGCGAAGACGCTGGACGACATTGTGGCGCTGAAGCTGAGCAGCGAGCGTCACAAGGAGCTCGGGGAGCCTCTGAACCACGAGGAGATGTTGTCGATCCTGCTGTATACAGGGTGTGACTGCTACGGAGACCTTCGGCGAGCGGAACGCGACCGCGACTTCAAGAAGTGGGCTCGCTTCGCATGTGTCTTGGACTTGGCCATTTACAACCTGGCGATGGCGGCAGCAGCAAAAGGAGTTGGCCTCACGCCCAAGGTCTACCACGGGCTTGGCAACGTGGCTTTGATGCACCTGCCGATCGACAAGGTGGAGTATGGCGACCTTGGGAGCATCTGGGCCGTGCAGTTCACCACGCCCACGTTCATGTCGACCTCCTGGAATCGGTCCGTGGCTGAAGGCTTCATCGACATGAATTCCAGCGAAGGGTCCGGCTTGCGGGGCTTGCTGATTGAGATGGAAGGGGAGGAGGCATCCCTGGTTGGTGCCGACGTATCGTGGATCAGCAAGTTTCCGCATGAGTGCGAGGTTTTGCTCGGCCGCTTCACTACCTTCACGTCGCAAACCGTCGAGACGGCCGAAGGCGACCAATCCATGAAAACAGTGCGAGACCTCGTGCGCGATCTCAAGATCGTCGTCGAGGCGGGGCGACTTCAGCACGCCTCCTTCACGTTGCAGGCGGGCACGGTCTGGGGCGATGAGTTCGGCTCAGGCGGTTCGGTGTACTTGTTGAGCCTCCCGCTGGTTCCAAGCGTCGCTCAATGCGATCACCCGAAGTGGCACCGGTCACTCTCGCGCTGGCCCGACGTCGCCGCGGGGAGGCGGCCGCCGACGAGCTTTGAGGAGCTGATGGAGTACATGGGAAGTCGGGAGTGCTACGAGCAATGCCACAGAGGGTTTCCCACCGGCTACCCGCTGAGCTTCATACTCTTTCCGCTCGACTGGAGTGCCTGCCGAGACATGGGCCGAGCGTTCCCTCTGCTTCACCTTCAGGCGATCTCAAGCGCGCGGGTGGCTGCCGGCATGATCAGCTTGTGACCTTCTATTGCACTTCTTTCACAAGACATTACACATTCTAAGACCACCTAAGGTCATTCTGCCTGTGGAAGCGAGGCTCGCAAGTGGTCGGACGTCTGGAAGTCTACGCAGAGTCTGGCCGTATCAAAGAGCACGAGTCTCGACAATCACATGCGCCGAGTTTCACACTCAAAGCTCAGGTTGGCAACGTGCCCAAGAGGTGAAAGACGCTTTTCTTGGAAGACGTAGAGGCAGTAGCACATGGCAATCAGCAGGGGCATGCGGCGTACTCCCTTTTGAAGTGGCTTTCCGGTACCTACCCATGCAGAAAGACCTCTTAAGCCGAGGTTCCAGGAGCTTAGGGAGTTTGGGAGGTTCCGGGGACGAGAGCCAGAAGAGAGGCTGCAGAGCCAGAAGCACCCAGGCAGATGGAGTTCTTGTACAGGAACAACCGGTCGGTCGCAGCCTCGAGTGGGGCTTTATCCCTCCACTGGTCTTCGGGCGCAGGCTTTCATGCTCGTGTTACGTGCTTGTGTGGCAGTCTTCAGGCGGGTTCATGCCCGTGCTTGTAGAACCTATTTTGGCCTATATTCGCTCCCCAACTGCTCCTCGCTAAGTACCAGCGAGATAACGGATCCGCGCTGACCTGGGTGCAGCTCAAGCCGGCTTGCGCCCTCACTAGCATGCGCTCTGCTGAGGACTTGCTTCTTCTGGACACCATCAAGAATTCGGTCGATTCAAAGAGCTTTGGTGGCATTCATACAGCCCCGGGACCCTAAACTTCCAAACCCTAAACTTCTAAACCCTAAACCCTAAACCCTGAACCCTAAACCCTAAACCCTAAACCCTAAACCCTAAACCCTAAACCTAGGAACTCCATCACCCACAACGGCACGGTGATGGCCCACGGGCTGATGCAGTGCGGCACGACGAGCGACGTGTTCCTGCGCCGGGGGCTCGGTGGTCCCCTGCCCGATGCTTCTCAGCTGCCCGAATGGATACATTTCTCCGGACTAGTCACTTGACCATGCTTGCGTGATCATATCTGATGTCGTGCTCTTGGATGCGAGAAGCTGAAGGTCCAAAGTAAAGTGAGACAGACCTTCTGCCTGCCTTCCTCATGAACAAAGCATCGGTTTTTCCTTGACTTCTCTGTCCCTCTGCTGTGCCCACGCTGGCCGACACGTGCGGGCACAGCTACGGCCTCGACCGTATGCTCAAACCGACCGTCTGAACTCCGCAGCCAAAGGTATCCGGTTTTCTGTGCCCGGCCGCAGCCGGCTCATCCTATCCCGAAGCCATAACCCTAAGCCGCTAAGCGCCTAAACCTTAGGGTACTGACTCGACAACTCCAGTAAGCAACCTGAAGCCCTCCAATCCACAAACCCCTAGATCCCCAAACCCCAAGCCCTCAACAAAACTTACTGGTTCTTAGTAGAGAATGAATTGGGTCCCCTTAGGGTGTATGCATCCCCAACTACGAACTAGTAAGAAAGAACCCTAAGCCCCAAAACCCCAAAACCCCAAAACCCCAAAACCCCTAAACCCCTAAACCCCTAAACCCCTCAATCCCTAAACCCGAACCCTAGACCCCTAAACCCCTAACCCCTAACCCCTAACCCCTAAACCCTAAACCCTAAACCCTAAACCCTACCTGGAAAACTTGGTAGCCGCTTATTCTTGGCGTTTTCAATCGTTGACGCTTTTTGGCGGGATTTCAGGCACTGGCTAAAGTGCCCGGTTTTTGGGCTCAGGAGTTTAACATGAAACACATCCCGAAAAGCCCCAAGGGGTAAACAGGAACCACAACCACTTCCAAGAAACTCGCTCACAACTTTAACACTTTACCCCAAACCCTAAACCTTAAACCGCAGCTCTACAAGGCAAGAACCTGGAGTGGCTCGCCAAGGCCTCCAACTGGGCCAAGTTCAGCGCGACGGCCTCGCTTGGCCGGAGACCCGTCCTTCTTTTGAGGGCCTACAAGGTTTAGGGTTTAGGGTTTACAGTGGGGCTAAGGGTTTCGGGCTTAGGGTTTAGGGCTTCGGGCTTAGGGTTTAGGGTTCTTTCGTACTGGTTCTTTATGAGGATTTTTGTGGAGTTGAAGGTTAAGGCTTAGGGTTTAAGTTTTTTTCGGGAGGGGTTTGATTAGAGTCCTTTTTTTGAGGGTTTTTTCGGAGTTGGCGGGCTTAATTTTAAAGCTTAGGGTTTAAGATTTTAGGGGTTTTACTTAGGGTTCAGGGCTTAGTTGACGGGTTTAAGGTTTTGAGGGTTTAGGAGGTGTGGGGGTTGAGGGTTGGAGGTTTTTGGGTTGGAGGGTTTGTAGGTCGCAATCATCTTAATGATCGCCGAAACGCTTGCCCTCGCATTGAAAGAATTAGGTGTTGCAGGTGGCGGGTTTAGGGTTTAGGGTTTAGGGTCCTTGGTTTAGGGTTTAGGGTTTAGGGTTTAGGGTTTAGGGTTTAGGGTTTAGGGGGTCAACGAGTTCACCGTGTCAACTGTGCCTTTGCTGACTGCGCCATGTCCGGTCTTGATCGTGCAAGGTCGAGCGGCCCTATGCCCAGAACCCCACACCCTACCCCTAGCTCTTTCGACTCAAGATGATTGCGATTGCTACAGCTACTATTGTTATTAGTATTGGTATTATTATTATCATCATCACTGTTTGCTATGATTGTATTTACTGGTACAATTGTTGGTATTAAAATTCTTAATATGAGTACATTGTAGCTTTAAAGCGTTATTCTGATTCTGATTATTACTACTCTTCTTCGTATTTTCATTCTTCATGATTGTTATTCTTACATGATGTATGGAGCCTAGGGTTTCTTGATTGAGAGAACTTTGTATTTTCTGAAAGTGATGGGCTTCTTTGGGCGGGAGGGCCTTTACCACGAACTTAAGGCCCAAAAAATCGTGGCAAGGCCCAAAAACTCGTGGGCAAGGCCCGAGGTGGGATTTAAATTCCTGGGCAAGGCCCATTTTTGGGCCTTAAGTTTTTTGGCCCTTCCCACGATTTTGTGCCCAAATTGGGCCTTGCTTGTGGGCATGAATCTGAATATTCTGCCCTTTATGAGATGGCGCAGCTCGGGTTCTCTCATGGCTGTTCAACCCTAAACCCTAAACCCTAAACCCTAAACCCTAAACCCTAAACCCTAAACCCTAAACCCTAAACCCTAACACCCAGGTGTCATCCACAAGGGGCACATCAAGGAGTCGAAGTGCGGCTCTTAGGGTTTAGGGGTTTGAGGGTTTCGGGTGTAGGGGTTTGGGGTTCGGGGTTTAGGGTTTAGGGGTTGAGGTTTAGGGTTTAGGGTTTGGGGTTTAGGGTTTGGGGTTTGAAGGTTTGGGGTTTAGGGTTTGGGTTTTAGGGCTTGGGGTTTAGGGTTTGGGGTTCAGGGGTTTAGGGTTTAGGGTTTAGGGGCTTGGGGTGGGGTTTCGAGTTTAGCGCTGCAGATGGCTGCTCTCAGCCCCTGTCAGATCGCAAGTGTGACGAACAGAATCAGCATAGCAACCCCAACCCCTAAACCCGCCCTAAAACCCGACGTTTTCGAGAGGCTGAGGCCCTGAGCCCTGAATCCTCGAAGTCATAAACACTAAGCCCTAAACCCTAAACCCTGAACCCTAAACCCTAAACCCTAAGCCCTAAACCCTAAACCCTTCAGCTCCTTCCTTGGAGGTCCATTCTCAGCACCTACCTTCCGCAACAGGGAGGCTGGACAGCCAAGACCATGTAAGCGGGGCTTCAAATTTTTTCAAGGCTAGTGCACCCTGAACCCTAAACCCCTAAATTCACATCCAGGGAACTTTAGAAAGTCCCTTAGACAGCGGTTTGTGGATCAATGCGTTGGCACTTCAAGGGAGCTTCGTGCAGCCTGGGGGGCGCGCGCAAGCCATAGGGTTTGGGGTTCAGGGTTTAGGGTTTAGGGTTTGGGGTTTAGGGTTTTGGGTTTAAGGACCCAAAACCGTGCACATTCCATGCCCAGTGCCGAGATGCCGTTATCACGCATGACCTGCATGACTCCATGACCCTGAGCCCTCAACTAGAAACCCTAAAGTTTCTAAGCCCTGAACCCTCAACCCTAAACCCTCAAGCCCGGGTAACTTGAAACCTGAACCCTGAACCCTAAACCCTCAAGCCGGGTAACTTGGAAATCTTCCAAGTTAAACAGTTAAACAAGAAACTCTTCAACACCTTGCTCGAAACTCCTCGAAGTTTCCCCGGACCCGAACCCTGAAAAATATTCAATCAACCCGAACCCTGAGCCCGAAACCCTCAACCCTAAACCCAAATTCAGCTTGAGACTCTAGGCCCGAAATTTCTCAACCTTAAATTCATCCGGAGGCACACGGGGGAGCCCTTACTCTGAGGGCGGAGCCCTCTATGGCATGGGCTGGTGCCTGAGCTCTTCCGCTTAGGGTCCTGGGCGCTGGGGTGTTAGGGTGTTACGGTGTTCGGGTGTTCGCGTGTTAGGGTGTAACAAGTAAACGAAATTTCGAGTGTAGGGTTTAGGGTTTATCGCTAGGGGTTGTTCAGTCGGGCTTCGGAAGTTCGGGCTTTTGGGGCGTTTGAGGCTTAGGGTCTGGGGTCCTCAAAAACCCTAAACCCTAAACCCCCTAAACCCCCTAAACCCCAAACCCTAAACCCTAAACCCCAAACCCTAAACCCTAAACCCTAAAACCCTAAACCCTAAACCCTATAACCCTAAACCCTAAACCCCAAACCCTAAAGCCCACACCCCACATGGCACCCCAAGCCTGCGGCCTGCGGCCCAACCTTCGACCCAAAGACGTTCGGGTTGAGGCCTTGGGGCTCAGGAAGACCACAACCCCAAGCCCTAAACCCTAAACCCTAAACCCTAAACCCTAAACCCTAAACCCTAAACCCTAAACCCTAAACCCTAAACCCTAAACCCTAAACTCAAGACCCTAAACCTTAGACCCTAAACCCTGAAGCCTGAACACCCTAAACCCGAAGCAGCAAGAGAGTCTCGTAACGTGACGAGTCGCCTCTCAGGCCTGATCCATGCCAATCACTACGATCAAGAGACCAAGGAGCTCCAAGAAGTTAGGGTTTAGGGTTTAGGGTTTAGGGTTTAGGGTTTAGGGTTTAGTTTAGGGTTTAGGGCTTCGGGTGTAGGGTTTACGGTTCAGAGTTTAGGCTTTGGGGCTCAGGGATTTTGAAGGCCCATGGGAAACTACAGTGTGGACCTTGGGTTTGCGGCGGGCTTTCGAGCTGTTTTCTGGAGAGTCTCAGCAAGACTCTAAAGCCAACTGCAGGGAGATTTTGGAGTATGGGCCAGCTGAGCTTTATCATTGTCACCCCATGATCCTTGTCGCCGGAACTCTTCATATGGGTGGTTGTCAAAATCATGATCCCTTTTGGGTGCCCTAAATATCAGGTGCCGTATTATAATCGGGATCCAAACAGGGACCATAGTTTTGACAACCATAAGTTTGGGGTTTGGGGGCCACAGCCCTCTTCTAGACCGGCAACCTTCGGGGGGCCTGTTGTCGATTATTGTTGCCACGCACACATGAAGAATGCGACTCCGGGATTATTCTTGGGGTTTAGGGTTGAGGGTTGAGGGTTGAGGGTTTGGGCTTCAGGGCTTAGGGTTTGGGGGGTTTTGGGGTTTTGGGGGTTGTAGGGGTTTGTCGGGCTTGCTCGTAGCCGAAGTGGGGGTTCGCTTCCTCCCACTTGCGTTGGCTTTGCAACAGTGCCCTCAAGCCCCCACATCCGAGAATCTCTAAACACCCTAAGCCCTGAACCCCAAACCCTAAGCCCTAAACCCTAAAAAACCCTAAACCCTAAACCCTGAACCCTAAACCCCAAACCCTAAACCCTAAACCCTAAGCTTGCCTGAGCTGCCAGAACTATCTCGTGGAGCAGCTGCGGAATGCTCAGGCTACAGAGGCGCACGGGTCTTTGGGTTCAGGTTCTGAGATGAGAGAGGTAAGATGAGTACCCTACTTTTGGTTGCGCATGAACCTGAAGTACGGAACCAAGCTTCTCGGTGTAGCACGGTATCCATGGTCAACAGCTACACGTACCAGACGCTGGGCCTGTGATGTACAACGTGAAAGTCGCGGGATATGCGTTTGGGTAGAGTTTTGGTGCAATCAGGTGCCTCGGCCCACGTAAGCCTGCATACATACCCACGACATGAGACTTTCTTGCACTGCTACCGGTAGTTCTCGTGTTTTGCAGCTTACATTGCAGGCTAGCAACCAGTCTCGCGGGCAAGTGGTGGGAGCTGGTGCTGGGTACGAGACGGAAAATTTTAACAACCTGAACGACGAAGAATCAACCCTAAACCCCAAACTCTAAACCCTAAACCCTAAACCCTAAACCCCAAACCCTAAACGCCCACCATAGCTGGGAGGTCCTCCAACATGGAGCCTGCCTGGGCATCGGCGTGGGGCTCAAGTTTTGGTGAGGGGCCAGGTTCGTCGAGGTGTAAGGTTTAGGGCTTCGGGCTAAAGCCTTGAAGCCTTCCTCTCTTTGAAGAGGCTTCCAGGAAACGCCAAACCCCCGGATCCCAAAGCCAACCACCAAGTCCTACACGCCCTACAAGCCCCATAAGCCCTTTAAAGCTTATAAGCCCCATAAGCCCTATGCCGTACTGCAAGCCCTTTAAAGATCTCTAAGCCTATCAACACTTCAAGCCTTCTACACCCTTAAAGCCCCATTAGCCCCCCCTGAAGCCCGACCCCAGAAGCGCAGACCCCACAAGGACTCCATGGACCTCAAAGGGCCCCGAAAACCCAAAGTCAGAGGCCTTTTGTGCATGGCCACGGCCGATGAGAGCATCTACGATGAGTTGACCCAGACTCTGCCTGGGGCCTCAGCTCCGTAGCGTCCCGGGGCTTCTACTTTCTCCTGGCGGCGCCCCAAGCCTTTGCAGCATCTCCTCACATCACTCTTTCTGATGCGATCCTGGCCCCTTTTGAAGCTTGGTCTGGGAAAGTTAGGCGTCCAGCTTCAGCTTCAATCAGGTTCAGTCCCAGTCTCGCGAGTCCCCCCCCCCCCCCCCCCCCACTTGCTAGTGATGAGGGAGTGAGGTACTCGTACCTTACAGTCGCTTGCCCTTAACCCTAAACCCTAAAGTTAAGCCCTAAACCCAACAGGGTTACGAATTCCTACCCTCCAGGCCCTAAACCCAGAGCCCAAGCGCAGGTACACAGACACTGCCGTTGCGGGCGAGGCGGCCGCGTACGCGATCGGACTTGTCATGGCCGCACGCTTAAGCAAAACTGCTAGTTGGGGTCGTCCTGAAAGACCTGAACCCCAAACTCTAAACCCTGAAACCCCAAAACCCCGAACCCTAAACCATGTTAAAGTAGGGGGAGTTTTCAGGAGACTCAGTTCTGCTGTACTTGGGGGGTTGGGATTGAGTTGTGTACCCTAAACCCGTACACCTGAAATCTTAAAGGTGTGTTGATGGTCAAAGTCTTAAATCCCAAGAGTTTCATAATATGCTTTCTGGGTTTTCTCGTTTGGGGCGTCGTTTTTCTTGTTTGGGCTGTAGGGTCTAGGTTCTTCAGTGGATGCGGTGTGCCGAAGCATCAAGACGTACGCAGTAGGACCCCTCCCATATGCTTTCGCGCTTAACGCCCGAAACCCTCGACCCTCAACCGCCTCAAGCCATAAACCCTAAACCCTAAGCCCTAGACCCTAAACACCCCAGACCCTAAAGGCTTTAAACCCCCAAAACTCCAAAACCCTGAAAACCCCCAAACCCTGAAAAGCCTGAGAATTTGAACCCTAAAGCACCCCAGGTCGGGTCTGCGTCGCAGAAGGCCATCGACGAGCTCCGCTCTTACCCAGGGTTCTAGCAAGGAGTTTAGGGTTTGGGGTTTGTGGCAAGGGTTCAGCAGGATTCAGGGTTTAAAGTTTTAAGGGTTTGGGGGGTTTTCGGATGCAGGGCTTGGGGCTTCTCAAGAATTCAACTGGGAAGCTGTCCCAACTCTCCACTGCAACCCTGGTTCTATATGCCCTCAGCCAAGCTTCCAGCTTCTCAATGGCAAGGATAGCAAGTATAGCAATGAAAGCAATATAGTATTAATTGTTCGTAAGAGTGGCCATAGTAGTAATAGCCGCCACAGGAATTCAAATAGCCATAGACAGAATCGTTCTAGTGGGAAGAGTAGTACAAGGGGTTCAGGCTTCTGGGGTTGGCTGTCAAGCTAAAGGTCCATCCCTGAAGACTAAACCCTAAACCCAAACCCTAAACTGTCTCCCGTTGGCATCGCTTTGGCTCAAAATCTCTCGCCCGCGAGTCGTCGCTACGATCTAGGCCCACCTGCTGTCTTCGAGCCAATGGAGTTTGCCATGGCAGGAAGGCGGCAGACATTCATAGCTGCGGGGAGGCCCAGCCATTGAGTGAGGCAGCTAGCCGAGCTTCAGAGGATATTTCAGGGACAGGCCCTGCACCCCAAAGTCTACACCCCCAAGTTGAACCTCCCGAAACCCTAAACCCTAAACCCTAAACCCTAAACCCTAAACCCTAAACCCTAAACCCTAAACCCTAAACCCTAAATCCTAAATCCTAAACCCTAAACCCTAAACCCTAAACCCCCAATCCTAAACCCTAAACCCTAAACCCTAAACCCTAAACCCCAAACCCCAAAACTCAAGAGCTGGCCCGCAAGCCGAGGTGTTGCTCTTGGCAGGTCTCCCTGCGGACGCGCTGCGGCCGGGGCCGGGACAGCCCCTTGGGCACCAAGGAGTGTAAGTTAAGGGAGTTTAGGGTTTGGGGTTCAGGGTTTAAGGTTCAAGGTTTAGGACTCAGGATTTTGTGGGGTTTGGGGTTGAAGGTTGGGGTGTCGGATATTGCTGGGTTTGGGGTTTTCTGCGCCCTGCGGCCCTAAAAACTCTTGGAGTTCGGGTTTCACCGGACGTGGGGTTCGGATTTTTGAGGCGGAACCGGTTGAGTGTTTGTGACGCGCCACGAGGCCTAGAGCTCCTTCAGGCGCTGGAAACAAGCTTTAGAACTTTAGGGTTTAGGGTTTAGGGTTGTTTAGGGTATTCGAACTGGTTTCCTGCACAGTGGGTACTCCTCTTGTCTGATGTTATCCGTCCTGGTAAAAACATTGTTGCAAGCGGCCCGTCGCAGTCGCTCCACAAGAACCTCAATCCTGGCTCCCTCAAGGGGCCGTTCCGCATCCAAGTGCCGGAAGCCTCTTTGTACCAAAAACAATATACAACATACTACATACTACATACTACATACTCTATACTACATGCTATGTACTAGTTACTACATTCTGTACGCTATATACTATATATTGTATACTATATACTATATACTCTATACACTCTACTCTCTCTCTCTCTATATATATATATGTATTATGATCGATTATGGCTGCAAGGCCCTGTGCAGACTCGGCGGTGAAGCCCCTGTCGGAGGCTCCGGGCTCGTTGCCCCCAAAACTCTCGGCCGATTTGGGGCAACGAGTTTCTGGATTTCATGCGACTCTAGGGTTTAGGGTTTGGTTGTATCTGCTGGCACCCTGTTTTGGGGGGCACGGTATATTTCGTACGGTTTCGGGCCAAGCGTAGGGTAGCCAAGAGGCCCAACAATGGCCATCCCGCCCCTATACTGTACCTCTTAGGTTGGATCAGGGTGTAGAGTTTCCAACATCCAAAAAACCCTAAACCCCAAACCCCAAACCCCAAACCCTAAACCCTAAACCCTAAACCCTAAACCCTAAACCCTTCTCACGCTCAGGGCTTCGGGTCATGTCAGGCCGATGCCGCGAAGCGCTTCTTCATGCTGTCCGAGTTGGTGGATGGGTCGGGCCGAGCCCCCGGCTCCGTCAGGAATGGAAGATGTTTAGGGTTTAGGGTTTGGGGTTTGGGGTTTAGGGTTTAGGGTGTAGCACGGGTCAGCTGAACGCAATAGTGTGAAGACATGCCCACCCCAAGGCCACCCAATCACAACTCACTGCGAAACCAAACCGGAGCCAGCCCAAAGCCAAGCCAGCCATTCAAAATCCGCGAAACCGAGCCGGAGCCAGCCCAAACTAGGGCAACCATTCAAAATTCACACGTCGAACATTCTTAGAGGATTCTGAAACTAGTTAGAACAGCCCAAGCCTTTAGTGACTAGACTTCTGGGTTTTCTTGGGGCCATAAGGCAAAGGACTCCCCTTCAGGTTTACGCGAAGGGGACGGTCTGGGCCGAAGGGCCCTCTCGCAGAAAACTCAGGCGTGAACAGGTTGCAGGTTGCGGGTCGCTTGGGGCCATAAGGCAAAGGACTCCCCTTCAGGTTTGCGCGCAGGGGACGGTCTGGGCCGAAGGGCCCTATCATAGAAAATTTTAGGGCGTGACTAGGTCTAGTCTTGCACAAATTCGACAAATTCGGGAACGGGTATCGCGAGGTTTTGCGCAGGGGACGGTGTGCGCCCAAGGGCCCTCTCATAGAAAAAATTGCAGGGCTTTGCCTTTTGAGTTTGCTTTCAATTCATGGTCTGTTCTTTGAGCAGGACAGCTGTTGGTCTGCCACGGACTTTGCGAGGCCAGGGCGGGGTGACCAGAGCAGGGCCAGGGCCAGCGCCAGGGCCAGAGCCAGGGCCAGAGCCAGGGCCAGGGCCAGGGCCAGGGCCAGGCCACGGCCAAGGCCAGGGTCAGGCTGCGCCAGGCCAGCAGGGCCAGGACCGCCAGGGCCAGGGCCAGGGCCAGGGCCAGGGCCACGGCCAGGGCCAGGGCCAGCGGCCAGGTCCAGGCAAATGGAAAAAGGACTCCTGCCAGGGTTTTAGGGTAATACAATATACTGTGACAGTGCTTGGCGACCAAGCTTGGCGACCCCTCAGGGGTGCGGTGGGCAGGCTCTGCAGCTCAAGCAAAGCCTGCCATGGTCTCGCTGAGCGCTCGACTGCGCCCGCCTACCCAACAGAGGTGAGAGGGGTGGCGGGCGGGTTTAGGGTTTGGGGTTTCGGGTTTAGGGTTTAGGGTTTAGGCCAAAAAGCAAACCTTGGACCCTCAAGCCATCTAAACATGAAGTGCTGGGCCCCAAGACCACTGGGCTGGGGCGCGCTGCATAGGTGTGCCTGTAGATAGAAAAATCTTGCAAAAGGAAGGATTAGGGGGGGGGGGTGGGTATGGAGTTTGGGTTTCGAGGGCTTTAAGGGTTTCGCTTCTCTTCCCTCAACCCTGAACACCCTGAACCCCCAACCTCCCCCGCCCCTTCCCCTCTCCCCTTTTGTCACTGAAGGCGTCTCCTGCTTGCAGAAGCTGCGCAACCTCAAGGCATCCACGGACAGTTTGGGCTACATGCCGCTGCCTCGGGACGTCGGCAGTTTTGGCCCTTTGAGCAGGGGATCAGTTGAGGAAGTGTAGAATTCAAGGGATCCTTGGTTTTTCAGCATCTAGGGTTCAGGATGTAGGGTCCAAGGCGTTTAGGGTTCAAGGGAAGAACCCTAAACACCTAGGCACGCATGCCCAAAACCCTGAGCCCTTTACCCCAAACCCTAAACCCACCCTAAACCCTCACCCCAAACCCTCGCTGATTCTATGCCTCCTCCATTCCAGGCCCGATGGTGCCTGGGCCGGCTGCCTAAAGAAGGCCACCTCACCCATTCAGGGGTTTTGGGCTGCTTTAGGGCTTAGGGTTTAGGGTTTAGGGTTTAGGGTTTACGGTGTAGGGTTTAGGGTTTAGGGTTTAGGGTTTAGCATTTAGGGCTGCTTCCCTGGTTCCCCCAGCGCCCCAGTGCAGCGCTTTTCTGCGCTGTTTTGGGCAGGGTTTGGGGCCCCCAAGTTTGGGGCTGTCCAAACATGAGGAGTGCCCTTTGGGGGCCCCTCTTGAAGGGGATTCTGTTTCATTTGGGGCATAAATGGGGGTATTGTGAATAATTCATATGTCTTTTTTTAAATCGGTTATTTTTTTGGGACATCCAGTTGAAAGAGATGAGGGTTCTTCGAGTCCGCAACGGGTGGAGCGCAGTTTCGGATCGGGAGCTGGCTGGCCCTAAACCCCTCAGACCGGTTTAGGGTTTTGCGCGTTGCATCGTCGTAGGTGTGCCAAGGGGATACCCGGATGCCCCAAGCCATGGTCTGCGCAGGTTTAGGTTTAGGGTTTGAGGCGGGTCTCTCAGCAAAGCTACTTGAGTTCACCTAGACACTTAAGCAATCTTAAGCTGTCTGCTAGATGCATCTGTGGCGAGGGTGGTGTCGTCAAACCCTCAACCCTAAACCCTAAACCCTAAACCCTAAACCCTAAACCCTAAACCCTCAGGTTTTCAGAGGCAGACCTCCTTTAGATTCTGAACCCCTGGAGGCCGTGGACTACGAAGTTTGGAACAAGGCACGGAGCCTTTGAGCCCGAAGCAGCAAGTGGGTGCAACCCGCAATCTTTCGGCACTTGGGAGCCCGAATCCTCAACCCCCCGAAACCCTAAACCCTACACCCTAAACCCTAAACCCTAAACCCTAAACCCTAAACCCTAAACCCTAAACCTAAACCCTAAACCCCAATCCCTGAAAAGTCCTCTGCCCACCCTAAAGTTTCAAAACTGCTACCCCATCGCATGAACGTGTCACAAAGCTGCCCTTAAAGCCTCAGACAGGTGACAATGTTTAGGCATAGGCATAGGTCTGGGTTTACGTAATACGTGATATGTGTATGAAAATGTATGTGTATATGGAAACATTTGCGTCCATTACATTAAATTAAATCATATTATATTATATTATATTATATTATATTATATTATATTATATTATATTATATATTAATATATTATATTATATTATATTATATTATATTATATGATATTATATGATATTATGTTGCTTTGTTTATATTATAAGACATTATACATATATTTTATGTTCATGCAGCTGTATGTGTATATGTGTATAGACATATATGTGTATGTGTATGTTGCATGTACATAGTGTACAGAAGGTGTATACCTATATGTGTTTTTGATAAATAAATATAAATAAACAATATATATATATGGATGTATGTATGTATGTATGTATGTATGTATGTATGTATGTATGTATGTATGTATGTATGTATGTATGTATGAACACATGTGTATGCGTATATGAAAAATATATATGAAAATATACGTATACATATGTATGTATATACACACACATAGTTTTGTTGTTGCTCGTCCAAGTTGCTCTGAACGAAAAGTTGATGACCATGTGGCCGGCTACACAACATTGCCGAAGCTTATTCTAGTTCTTCGCGTGGTGCTGCTATTGTTGGTGTTTCTGCTCTTGTCAGTGCTCTTGCTATGGTTGTCTTGGTTCTTCTGACTATGGGAGTTTCCCTCGACCCTATCGCAATTGCTTTGACCCATCAACGACTCAACAAAAGGAGTAGGAACTACCTAAGCCCTGAGCCCAAAGCCCTACGCCCTGAGCCCCTAAACCTTAAACCCTCAACACCTCAACCCTAAACCCTGAACCCTGAACCCTAAACCCTAAGCCCTAAACCCTACACCTCCTTCAAGGCCTCAGCCCTTAACTCTCGCCAGGCCTGGCCCCTGCAGCCCCGGTTCCGGCAAGCGCCGAACACCAAGCCTGGCGAAGAGATTCAGAGCCCCGCAGGCAGGGATTCCGGGTTTGGGTTTAGGGTTTAGGGTTTGGGGTTTGGGGTTTGGGGTTTGGGGTTTGGGGTTTGGGGTTTTGGGTTGGGGTGGAGGGTTTTAGGGTTTTGGGGGTCTGGGGCTTCGGGTTTAGGTTTCGGGTTTCAGGGTTTGGGGATTCAGGAAGGTCAACATGGGGTTGATGCCTGAGGTTTAGGGGCTAAACCCTAAAGCCTAAACGCTAAACCGAATTCCTCCTTCCCCCCGCCCGCCTCCTAAACCCTTAAACCCCCCCGTCCTCCTCCTCTTGTAGCGGAGGTCAGGTCATCGCTCTCTTCTCAGAACGCGCTGCTGAGGCGCGTCGCCTCCTGGAGTTTCGGCCCACGCTGAATGTCGGGCTTTTTTGAGGTGTCAGGGGGTCTTGCATTGACGGTGAAGCAGACACGCCGAGCTCGAACTCCAACTAGCCATCGGCCCCGACTTCTGCAGCACCAACTTTAGAGTCACTACTCCCTCCCGAAACCCTGAACCCGAAACCCTACACCCTAAACCATCCTAAACCCTAAATCCTAAACCTTAAACCCTAAGCCCTAAACCTTAAACCGTAACCCTAAACCCTACAAGCCCAAAACCCTTGCTTCTGAATACCATAGCCATCTACCCGAAGAGACTTCTAAACCCAAGCCTTGGACAAAACCCTAAACCCTAAACCCTAAACCCTAAACCCTAAACCCTAAACCCTAAACCCTAAACCCTAAACCCTAAACCCTAAACCCTAAACCCCAAACCCTAAACCCTAAACCCCAAAGCCTCTGAAGCCTCGCGTGAGACACAGCTGCACCTCGAAGCCTGCCTCCACGAGAGCGAGGCCCCTGCCACCTCATGAGAGTCTGGGGTTTAGGGTTTAGGGTTTAGTATTTAGGGTTTGGGGTTTAGGATTTTTTGGGTCTCGGGTTTAGGGTTAGGGATTTAGGGTGTAGGGTTGAGGGCTTAGGGTTCAGGACATCCCCCTCCCTCCTCCCGAAGCCCAGAGGAGCGCGAGCGGCAGCGCAGCGCCGCGAGCGCTGCGGCGCTGGCGCAGAAGAGGGTCCTCTGGGCTGCCCTGTTAAGGACTGTGAGTATAAGAGGGTCCCCTGGGCTGGGTTCAGGCTTGTTGTTTCGGGTGCAGGGTCCCAAAACCCTAAATCCTAAACCCTAAACCTATCCCAAAACTCTAAACCCCAAACCCTCATCCCCAAACCCAGTTGTATACTTATACGTGTGTATGTGTGTTTCGTTTTTGTATATATATATATGTGTTTAGGGTTGTACATGTACATGTGTATATACAGTAGAGCTTGTACTTTGCATGATGGTTTTTGGTCGTCCTTGAGGTTTTGGGAGCCTGAGGTTGTTGCCTGTTGGACCGTGGAATACCGAAGCCCTCAAGACGCTAATCCCCTTGAACCCTAAAGGCCCAAGACCCTTGAGACCTTAACCCCTTCAACCCTAAAGTCCCTCAAGCCATTAAGCCGTCAAGCGCCCCCGAAACTCACAAAACTAAAGTGCCAAACCCAGACCCCCAAAAAAAAACCCAAAATCGGAACCCCCAGACCCAAAAAAACCCAAAATCGGAACCCACCGCCCCCAACTCCTTTAAACTAAAGCCCGAGACGAGGCGCAGTCGTTGGCCTCGCTGCTGCAGGTCGGGGCGCAGCTTTCCAAATTGGGGTTTGGGGCTCGCGGGGTCGGAGGGTCTAGGGGTTAGCAAGGGGTTTGGGGGTTTTTCGAGCCTACAGCCCTAAACCCTAAACCTTAAACCCTAAATCCTAAACCCTAAACCCTAAACCCTAAACCCTAAACCCTAAACCCTTGAGCCCTGAAGCCTCTCCACCACGTGCCAGGTTCGCATGTCCAAGGTGTCCTGACGGCCGCTTGAACCGACGCGCCAAGCTGCGGTGCACCCTGTAGCCGTGACCTACATTAAAAACATATCTATATATTTTTCTATACACCAATTTCATGTATGTATCTATATATATATATATAGATACATATATATATATACATATCTACATATACATATATATACACATATACAAATGTGTAACCCTTGACCCTGAAGCGCACAGAAGTGAAGTTAACAGCTTCTCCCTAAGCTGCGCTGTAGAATGGCCGTATCCGGCGCCGTCAACCTCGCTGCGTGACAGCGGACTTCTCACCACGGAAGAGCAAAAGCAGCCCAGCCCGCCTGGATGTGAGCCGATTGCTATGCTTCGGTGCTTAGGGCTGGTATTGTTTCAGGGTTCAGGGTTTAGCATCTGCAGGGCCTGCTGGCGTGAAGTTTGCTTGCTGCTGTCTTGTGAGGAGCTCGGTTTTAGTTTGTCGAGTTCCTTCCAACCTTGCCCAGCTTTCGGGGTCTCAGATCTCGCGTGGAACAAGAAAGGAGACTGCCGCGCAGTCCTGCACTTGCACCGAAGCAAAGCTAAGCAGATCGCAGACTGCCCTCAGACGGATGCTGAAGAACCAAGCAAGGCTTGGACTCGGGAGAAGCAGACCGGTGCATCCGAATCAGAATCTGCAAGCCCGTACTGTCCAAATCCTGAACTCGCTGAACCCAAAATCCCCAAATTCACCCAAAGCTCCAACCCACAAAGACCTTCAGCCTAGGCACAGAGAGTCCAATACCCCTTCGTCGTTAGCTCTTAGGTTTGTAGACTTGAACATGGAATATGCTGCAGGGTTTTGGGCGGTGTCTTCCTGAGTTTATGAGATGTTGAAATGAAAAGGGACCCTGCTCTGATCTCAGGAAGATTCCACTAACATTTGAAATGGTTTAGGGTTTAAGGTTGGGGTAGGGTTTAGAGTGATGTACGGCAGACTCCTTGCACTTATACCATGATAGGGATGATCTGGTCAAGGCTCCGCGCCTATGCGCACGACACGCAGCACGAGAAGATCATCCGTGCGTGTGCTGGGGCCTCATCCAGACCTGGGACGGCGGGATCCTAAACTCGAGGCCCTAACCCCTAAACCCTAAACCCCCTAAACCCTAAACCCTAAACCCTAAACCCCTCTAAACCCCTACAGCTTGTAGGGGATCCCTGCGGCTTCTCGGTTTGGGGCTTGTGGAGTGGAGTGTGTTTACGGTGTCCATGCTCCGTCTGCCTGCCTCAAAGCCCTCTCTTGATCAGGACAGCTGCCGAGACCCACTAAGAGCCTAATTCCTAGGCCTCGAGACCCCGAACCCCAAGCATCTTTACCTTCAAATCCTCAACTCTAAGCCCCCGTATAAGTCCTAAGCCCTCAACCCTAAGCCCCCCTACGCGGCCCCACACACACACACACACACACACAGAACGAGAAGGGACCTCCCTAAACCCTAAACCCTAAACCCTAAACCCTAAACCCAACTCCAGCGAATGGAAAAGGCCCTGGCGCTGGCGATGATGATGTTCCGGAAAGAGGAGGAAGCAGAACCCTTGATCCAGCGAGAGCCTGAGGTGTCTCTACTTAGTGGAGCTCTTTATTCTACCGAGTATCCCCTTAGAAACCCGAGTCGAATCCCCAGAACCCACCTTGCTGACCCTACTTACTTCGTCAAAAGGGCTTCCAAGTAGCCCCGAGACTTTAGGTTTAAGGGAGCCCTGAAGCCTCCTGGCTTCTTTTTTCTGCGTGCGAGTATGGGTGTGATACCTGTGTAGGGTTCAGGGTCTAGGGTTTTCGTGTTGTGGCGGCTTGCCTACGTGTAAGTCATGCTGATGAGAGCCCTTCTCTCAGGGAGATGCTCTTGGACAAGGACGCGATTTTGCGCTACGGCGGCTGCTTCGCGATTGCGCTTGCCTACGCCCGCCCGCTGAGCATGCGTTGTTGAAGCTTGTTTCCTGGAGTCCGAAACCCTAGACATAAAAGCCTAAATCCTAAGCACTGATAAGCCTTAGATCCTGAGAAGAGCCCCAAACCTTCATAAGCCCTAAGCCCAAGCCAAACCCTAAACCCTGCCTATCAACCCTGAATCACCCTCAAAAAACCCCATCCCTATGTGGGGGTTTCCGAACTTAGGGGTACCTTTATTGGGTCCATAGCATAAGGGAATCCTGCTATATTGGGGGTGATCCCCTATTTTCGTACACCCCCCACATCCGGAACAGCGTCTTGCCGTGCTCTGCTGTTTTGAGGTTGGCACCTCGCAGAACGCTGCCATCCGCAAGCTTCTCCACATCTCGGCCGGCAGCTGAGGAAGCAGCAGTGTTGGATGTAGGTGGGTTGTTTTGGGCTTTAGGCCAACCCTAAACCCTAAACCCTAAACCCTAAACCCTAAACCCTAAACCCGAAACCCTAAACCCTAAACCCTAAACCCTAAACCCTAAACCCTAAACCCTAAACCCTAAACCCTAAACCCTAAACCACTCCAAACCCCTAAACTTAACACCCGAAGCCCAAAAGCTGACGCTCCTGAGGTGTCGGACGTCTCGGACGACGTTCGCCGCGCGGCCGTGATGGCGCAGCTTCCTCAGAGCCTGCGGGTTTAGGGTTTGGGTTTAGGGTTTAGGGTTTAGGGTTTAGGGGTTAGGGTTTAGGGTTTAGGGGCCCGCTGTGGCCGGGCGGTTCGGGGTTCTGGGGGTCGAAGGTTTTGCTGTTCAGGAACCTACATGCACTTTCCGGAGTGCCGCTACACAGTAAACAAGCATCCGTTTTCGGGTGACCTCTGTGAAGCTCCTCAACAAGGTCCCCAAACCCTAAACCCTAGACCCTAAACCCTAAACCCTAAACCCTAGACCCTCTCGGTGGAGTTCTTCAACAAAAATCCCAGTAAGCCGAGAGCCGAGAGCCCTGAACCTCGCAGCCCCTGGGTGCTTAGTAGGGAATGGGGGATGAGGTACCCGATATAATTCCCTTAAAGGGCTTGCACGAGGGGATATAGGGTACCTCATTCTCTCATTCCCTACGAAGAACCAAGTTAAACCTGAACCCTGAACCCTGAACCCTGAACCCTGAACCCTAAACCCTAAACCCTAAACCCTAAACCCTAAACCGAAAACACTCGAAGCAGCACGAGAGGCTGGGCTTCGTGATGTGCAACGTGCCGGAGCAGCTGCCAGGTGTGGTCAAGCTCCTGGCAGAGAGCAGGTGGCTCAGAGTGCCCAGCCGTCGGATGTGCGCCGGAAACCCTCCAAAACCTCCAGGTTTCAGGGTTCAGGGCTTCGAGCTTAGGGTTCAGGATTTCGGTGGTATATTTATTTTTTTTGGGGGGAGGGGGGGGGGGTTTTAGGGAGTTCAGGAGCTTTTCGGGGGTTCTTGGGCCAACCCGAAAACAGCCCTTGGGTCCAAAGCCCCGAAGCTTCTGCTCCCAACAACTTAGAGCCTTAACGCCCCGAGGGCCGATGGTCTAAAGCTGAGACCCCAAAACCCTGAACCTTGAACCCTGAACCCTGAACCCTAAACCCTAAAAACCCTAAACCCTAAACCCTAAACCCTAAACCCTAAACCCTAAACCCTAAACCCTAAACCCTAAACCCTAAACCCTAAGGTTCAGATTTCGGTGTTTGGGCTGAGTTCGGGCTCAGTGTTGCAGCCGGTGAAGGCAGGACTTCAAACGGTTCCGGCTGTTGGAAGGGTGAGTGACCTCCCCTACTACCCTTGAACCCTAAACCTCCCGACTTCCGAAACGCAGCCAAACCCCAAGCCCCAAATCCCAAAAGCCCCGAACCCCAAACCCTGAAGCCTTAATCCCTAAGCCTCGAACCCAAGTCCCTAAGCCCCTAAGCCCCCAAGCCCCTAGGACCCTACGCCCCTGTTGCCCCTAAACTCCCTCAGGCTAGGGACTAGTGACTAGAGGAGGGACGGGGGTCATTTAGCTATTTGGGGGGCTAATCAGGTTTCTGGGGACTATATCAGGTATGTGAAGGGGTTATACAACTCTAAACCCTAAACCCTAAACCCTAAACCCTAAACCCTAAACCCTAAACCCTAAACCCTAAACCCTAAACCCTAAACCCTAAACCCTCCTTAACTCAGGCTACAACCCCCACGTGCGCTACGCCGCCGCCATGGCCCTGGGCATCGCTTGCGCGGGCACCGCGCTGCTCGAGGCGGGGAGTTTTTTGCTTCCAAACCGTAAACCCCAAAGTAAGCTCTGACCCCAAAACCCCAAAGTAAGCTCTGACCCCTAAACCCCCAAACCCTAAACCCTAAACCCTAACCCCAAACCCTAAACCCCCAAACCCCAGACCCTAAACCCTAAACCCTAAACCCGAATGATGGGTGGCTAAGGGTTTCGGAGTCCCATGTAGGGCCCAGGCAGGCTGCGTTTAGGTTTTGGGTTGAGGGCTTACGATTTAGTGGCTTGTGATGGCTTGATTGGTGGTGATGCTCTTAATGATTATATCAAGGGTTTCGCCCTACACAAAATACCTACCAACTCCCAACCCCTCACCCTCCCCCTCCCCCACACACGTAGTCTTCAAAGCGTCGCAGCCCCGAATGAAACCCACGGCGCGATCTCCAGGCGCACAACCTTCTGCAGCCACTGATGTCAGACCCCTCGGACTTCGTGAGGCCGCTCCCCTCTTGAGTTGAGGGAGGCTTCAGCTTGGGTCCTGAGAAGATGTGTTTTGACCTAACTTCTGGATGCTTGTTGTTGGGTGTCCTTAAGTACAAGGAGTACACTTTCTTGCCCCGAAGCGCAAACAACCTCCATTGGAGACGGCTTCGCCGAGCCTGGCCCAAATGCAGGGCCAGGGTGTTCCAGTTTTGGGGTCACGGGTTCAGCCGCTGCGACACGTGTGCCTTGCCACCCTAAACCCTCAACCCGACAACAGGCAAGGAGCTATCATCGTGCCGGGCTGAGAGAGGGCCTTTGAAAACTTTGTTCGCGGAAAGGAGGCCTCCGAACCCTGGAGCCAGCTTGCTTCCGTGCTGTTTGCTGAGGCAATGGGTCTACTTTACATGCAGACATCCCCTGGGAAGACCGAGCGCGTGAAGGAGCGGGAATGCGCATCTGCAATGTGTGGTGTTGTCGGCCTAACCTCGGGCCCTTTGGGGATCAGGGATCAGGGCCTGACACCTTGTTTGATACCATGGCTGACATCCTCCTATATTCTCATATTGTTATATGATTATGATGATGCTTGTGTGTTTTTAGTATATTATTAAACTGATATTATCATCCTTCGTACTGATGGTATATTAGTATTGTTTCTATTATTCTGCTATCTTATTGTATTTTGTCAATTTCATATCCCGAGTTTCTATTATATCATGGCTATATGTTCATTATATCATGATGATTAGTATATTACTACCATATTTTGAGTGCTTGCTGGCTGAGCTCAGGAGTTCCGTGAGAAGCTCCAAAAAGTCATCGGCGACAAGCACGAGGATGCCCGGGAGCGCAGGGTCTAGGGGTTTAAGGTTAAGGGTTTAGGGTTTAGGGTTCAGGGTTAGGGTTTGGGGTTTAGGGTTAGGGTTTGGGGTTTAGGGTTTAGGGTTTAGGGTTAGGGTTTAGGGTTTAGGGTTTAGGGTTTGGGGTTTAGGGTTCAGGGTTCAGGGTTTGGGGTTTCGGGTTGAAGGGCGCCGTATTCCGTAAAGGGGACCCGCTGGTCGCATGCCCAGGTCATGACTCGCTTCGGTGCCATCCTGGCTCATGGCATCATGGACGCCGCAGACTCGATGTGTGAGGGTCGCACGCTCTCGCTTCTTAGTCCCTCAAGGGGTTCTTCGGGGGCGATTTAGGTCTAGGTATATAAGGGACTATATAGGGGTTATATAGGGGAATACGATTAAGGGTCCCTAATCCCGGCCGCAGTGAAAGTGCAGCAGATCCGGAACCACATCCCTAAACGCTCTCAAACACTGATAAACCTCAGACCCCCAAACCCTGAAATCCATCCCCACCTCAGACCATGCCTCCCTAAATCCCCTAAAGCCTTGAACGCCCTTAACAATCCCGGACAAAAACCGTGAAAAGTCCCTAAAAGCCCCTCGAAAGACCCCTGAAGACCCCCTGAAGAACCCTCAAAAAACCCGCAAAACCCCTAAAAGCCCTCTGAAGACCCCCCGAAAGAACCCAAAACAACCCTGACAGAACCTTCTTCAAAGCCCTTCAAAGCCCTTCGAAAGACGCCTCCTAAAGAACCCTCAAAAGACCCCCAAAGAACCCTTACAAAACCCTTTAGAAGCCCTTAAATGTCCCTAAACGCCCCTCGAAAGACCCCCGAAAGACCGCTCCCAGCGTCCGCGGAATATTTTTTCCCCCGGAGGCCGGGGGCCGGAACTCCTGCGCCTCGCTCTTCTCGAAGTCGGGAGCCAGGGCCCCGAAGAGTTGGTTTGGGATTTGTAGGGTTGTTGCTTGGTTTTTATTCGGTTCCTATGCATATTCTTGCTTTTTGACATAAGTTCATTGTAGGTTTGGGGGTGTTGTTGTAAACCCTTCAAAGCATTACAGCCCCGCCCCCCCCAAGAACGGCGCAGGTCCTGCGCCGCGGTGCGGCCATCGGCTTTTGCCTTTTCACCCAGATGTGGTACTGGCCCAGACCTCGGACTTCTAGAGTACTGCTGTACCGGTGTTTAGGGTTTAGGGTTTAGGGTTTAGGGTTTAGGGTTTAGGGTTTAGGGTTTAGGGACCGGTACCTGGTCGTAGGAGCATACTGTGTCGGCTTGGGGTTTCAGTCATGTAGGCATCGGAAGTGATAGAACAGCATGCTCCTGGTAGTTCGAAGTAAACCCAGCTCGGCGCATCATCCTTCGGACCCCCCCTCGTCCCCAATTCCCTCCAAGCTGCGGGGAATACGGTTTTAGGGTGTTGTGGGTTGTCGGGGGCAGTGGTCCGCCCGCAAGGTTTCCCTTGATCCACATGTTCTCGCTGACTCTGACGCCAACCGCCCTGATTGGCGCCGGGCTCGGAAGGTTTGGTTCTCCTAACACCTTTGGGGTTTGGGTCATTCGGGCCCTATTAAACGACAAAGCCTCACCCCCGGAACCCTAAACCCTCCCTAAATCGCTATAAACCCCGCGGGTTCGAGAACGGAGGTTTTCGGGTCCACCCACTCACAGCTGAATGCCTTTCAGGGATCGGTGCTTATGTGTTCAGGTATCACGGTCTTGGGGCAGTAGTAGGACCTAACCCAGGCCCACCAAACCCAAACCCGAAACCCTGAACCCGAAACTCCGAACTGGCGCCCGCCGGTTAAACCACCCCCCAAAAGCCCTGCCATAGAGGATTTAGGGTTTAGGGTGTTTGGGATTTAGGTTGTTTTAGGGTTTAGGGTGTTTAGGGTGTTTGGGGCGTTTTGGGTTTTAGGGCTGAGGGTGTAGGGCGAGGTGCCCCATATGAGTCCCTTCAGGGTTTGGGGTTTTGGGGTTTTATGTCTTCGGGTTCTTTGAGGGCGTCAGGCTTCAAGTCTTGACAGGGGTGTAGGGTTTTAGGGTTTCAGGGTTCTGGATTCGGGGTTTAGAGCCAGAAGGTAGACCCCGAATGTCTCCAGAGAGTTCCGGCAAGGCATTACGGACAAGCTGAAGATTCCCAAGAACTTCTCCGCCGCAAGCTGAGCCCAAAGGGCGATTCGTTGCTGGGGGGGGCTCTTAACCCCCTGGTTCTTAGCAAGGATTGAGGGAACTAGGGCCCGAAAATATACCCTTTAAGGGAGTGTATAGGGTACATTCCCTCCTTCCCTACTAAGACCCAGCCAGTTGAGGGTCCATGTTTGCGCCGAAGTGCCCTGCCTCAGCCTCTGAGCCTCTCCTGAAACCCCAAAATCTCGGAAGCTTCGGGCTTTTCGGGCTTTTCGGGTTTAGGGTTTAGGGTTTAGGGATTGGGGTTTCGTTGCCTGAACCCTAACCCTAAGCCCAAAACCGTTGTGTGCCCGAGGTTAAGAGTGGAGCGAGGCCGTCGCTGTTTGCGTGCCCCGGCCCTGTTTTCCAGTCCTTGAGAAGTCCTGCAAATTCTAAATGTTTAGGGTTTAGGGGTTGAGGGTTTGGGGTTTCAGGGTGCGGGGTTTAGAGTTTAGGCTCCGAGTTGGGTGTCGTTTGAGATCCCAGCCTTTCTCATAGATTCGTGGTCTATTCTCAAAGCGGCCCCAAGAAGAGTTAAGTAGATCCATCAGTTCCATGCATGCAACCACCCCAAACCCTAAGTTCGCAAACCCTAAACCTTGGGATGTTCCAGCTTTTCTCATCGGCCTTAAACCCGGAAACCCTTAACCCTTAAACCCTCAAACCCTCCAAGCCCTGAAGCCCTTAAGCCCTTAGCCTCTTAAACCCTCAAACCCTTAAACCTTCAAACCCTCAAACCTCAAACCCCAAAACCCCCCCTAAACCCTAAACCCTAAACCCTAAACCCTAAACCCTAAACCCTAAACCCTAAACCCTAAACCCTAAACCCTAAACCCTCATGTCAAGGTTTCCTGCGAAATTGGGGAGGTACCTATTGGGGTCCTAAACATAAGGGAATCCTACTACTTGGGGGGGTGTATTATGGGGTCCCATGTGGGGGGTACTTAATGGCAGCTTCGAGGAGCCTTGGGCGCGGCCCGGGTCTTAGGGTTTAGGGTTTAGGGTTTAGGGTTTAGGGTTTAGGGTTTAGGGTTTAGGGTTTAGGGTTCAAGGGTTGAAGGGTCGAAGGGTCGAAGGGTCGAAGGGTTGAAGGCTTAAGGGTTCAGGGTTTAAGGGTTTCAGGGGGTCAGGGCCTAAGGGTTTAAGGATTTAGCAGCCTCCTGGTCTTGTTTGCGGTGCTGAAGCGAGCTGTCTCTTGGAGCCGCGCCCCTGAACACAACAGATCTTCAACTCTAAGCCTTAAGCCGCAAACCCTAAACCCTAAACCCTAAACCCTAAACCCTAAACCCTAAACCCTAAACCCTAAACCCTAAACCCTAAACCCTAAACCCTAAACCCTAAACCCTAAACCCTAAACCCTAAACCCCTAAACCCTAAACCCTAAACCCCAAACCCTAAACCCCAAACCCCAAACCCTAAACCCTAAACCCACAATCCGGCAGGTACCCAGAGCCCCTGCAGCCTCCCAAGAAGGAGGAGACGGCGAAGGCAGCCACCGCGGTGCGGCGCTCAGAGTCTCTGGACCTGGCTCTTGGGGCTTGGGTTCAGGGTTTAGGGTTTAGGGTTCAGGGTTTAGGGTTTAGGGTTTAGGGTTTAGGGTTTAGGGTTTAGGGCTCTTGAGATCTTAGAAGCTCCTGCAGCTTTGGGGCGTTTCGGGGTTGAGGATTTTTAAGGGCTTCGGGCTTGGTTGTTTTGAGTTCAGGTGTGTTTTTAGGGGTTTAGGGTAGCTTTGGGGCGTTTCGGGGTTGTGGATTTTGAGGGTGTAGGGTTGGTTTTGAGTTCAGGTTTCAGGGCTTTGAGGTTTACAGGAACTTAGGGTTTGAGAGGATCTCGTTCATGCCAGCGCCTTGTGGAGGATTCCCTTTGGGTTTAGGGTTTAGGGTTTAGGGTTTAAGGTTTAGGGTTTAGGGTTTAGGGGTTAGGGGTTAGGGGTTAGGGTTTAGGGTTTAGGGTTTAGGGATAAGGTACCCCTAATTTCGGAAACCCCCCATATCGGAGACGTGGTGCCCAGAACAGCGTCGTGATCTCAGAAATCCCGAAGCAAAGGTTCTCTCCACGGCGGCCAAAGCCAAGCAGCTCAAAGAGAAGAAGGAGCCGCCTTCCAGTAGGGTTCAGGGTTTAGGGTCTAGGGTTTAGGGTTTAGGGTTTAGTCTTTAGGGTTTAGGGTTTAGGGAACCCTTTTTCGGGCTCTATATGTAGTACGGCACTCTACAAGCACCCTCCAAAGGGACCCTAATTTTCCCAAAACTACCCACATGGGGGGTCATACGGCCGGGGGTTGTTCTGAAAGTCTTCTTTAAAGGTCTGGATGAATGGGGATAAGAGTCCCTGAAGGAGGGGAGTCCTTATCAACAAAGGGAACCTTGCCTTGTGGGTTGTTTTGGGGGTTTAGGGTTTAGGGTTTAGGGTTTAGGGTTTAGGGTTTAGGGTTTGAAGGACGGCCCTACAGGGCCTCTGTAGCACGCTTCTTGGTTTTGTCTATGGTTCTTTTTTGGCTTCGCAGACCCGAGTCCCTAGCATGGGCTGCGCTTCTTGCAGCAAGCCTTTTTAAACCCTAAACCCTAAACCCTAAACCCTAAACCCTAAACCCTAAACCCTAAACCCTAAACCCTAAACCCTAAACCCTAAACCCTGAACCCTAAACCCACTGTTCTGGTCCCGAGACCACTGGTGTAAAGAGGCCTGACCTAGTGCAGTCCCTTACTTGCAGAGTTGTCCCTCAACCTACCACTTGCGGGACGCAACCTTGCAACTCGCAAAACAGGCCTCTGGCCACTTCGAAGAGGTTGAGGGGACTGGGCTGTGTGCTGGGATTTCGGATTTGAGCCCCGGCTGTGAGGAGAAGGAGGCGAACGAGCTCAAGAAGGCGGCGCCTCAGACCCCTGAACCTCCCCCCCCCCCATGGTATCCCCCCCATGAACCCTAAGCCCTAAACCCTAAACCCTAAACCCTAAACCCTAAACCCTAAACCCTAAACCCTAAACCCTAAACCCTAAACCCTAAACCCTAAGCCCTAAACCCTAAACCCTTCCCTGCATCGTAGCTGAAACTCGGACAGTTGGGTTGTTCCTGAAGCCCTCCTGTCCGTACAGCGATGCCCGCCTTTGCTCCCCGGTTTAGGCTTTGTGGGTGGCCCTCCAATCCATCCCTGACCCTAAGCCTCGTACGCGTTTTGGTGTACTGCCAGGCTCCTTCCAATGCAGATGTCGACATGGACGACAAGGCCAGGGATTCATGAAGTGCGAGTGGATCGCTTCTGGAAGTTTCAGCATTGGGTTTCTTGGGTTCAAGGCTTAAGGTTCAGGGTTCAGGGGGTCTGATTAAGGGCTAGGGTTTAGGGTCCACGTTCTAGGCTTTGTGGTCTCAGGGTTTCAGGCTCAGGGTTCGCTCTTCATTCATGTGCCCCAGCTTTGACCGGCTCACGTTGGAGCAATCGCTCCGGCAGTTTGTCTCTTGGTGGGTCAACACGAGTGTGTAAGGGTTCCGAACCTTCTGACCTTAAGCCCTAAACCCCAAACCCTGAACCCTGAATCCTGAACCTTGCACCCGAAAAGAGCTGTTTCAAGCCACCAACACCTTGAGCCCCAACCTACAACCTGCAAACCTAGCACCCCTAAACCCTAAACCCTAAACCCTCAACCCTCAACCCTCAACCCTCAACCCTCAACCCTCAACCCTCAACCCTCAACCCTCAACCCTCAACCCTCAACCCTCAACCCTCAACCCTCAACCCTAAACCCTAAACCCTAAACCCTAAACCCTAAACCCTAAACCCTCGGCAGGCCTCCATCGGCGGCTCCGTGGCGGAAGGGGCGGCCTCCTCTTTCCGCGGGGCGGACATCGCCCCTTGGTCGGTTGGAGTTTTTTGGGCTCTGGGGTTTAGGGTTTAGGGTTTCGGGTTTAGGGTTTAGGGTTTGGGGTTTAGGGTTTAGGGTTTAGGGTTTAGGGCTCTGGGGTGTAAAATCGGGGGTTTAGGGTTTGGGGCGTTCAGGGCTTTAGGGATGAGGGGCTCTTTAGGCGTGAGGGCTCTAAGGGTCTAGGGGCTCGGGCTTGTAAGGGACGAGGATGAAGGTTTAGGGTTTAGGGTTTAGGGTTTAGGGGGGTAGCCTGCCTCAGGGTTGCGGAGGTAAAGCTCAAGTAGATGTCTAGCGACCTTAGAAAGAACGTGCAAGTTGAGTTAAGCTTCCGAGCTTCACATGGTTATGCTTGGAACTATGTTCTCCAATTACAGGCTCCGCCTTTGTCCAGATGTTTGAAACTAATCCGAAGTCCTAGCCAGAAGGTGGGGTAGGAGAAGGCTGCCAGGGTTGGGTGATGTTTGCTTTTCAGGGTTACGTGACTGTTGTTGGCGAGTGTATGTATGGGTCCGTGTAAATATTGGCGAGCTGTATATGTTGTGAGTCCTTCCGGGGATACCAGGAATAGACAAGCCTACATGATGTCTTTTTAAAGCACCTTCCGTGTGAGCTGCCGCGATTGAATTGTGGGAAAAGTAGCCCTACTGTATGACCCTTTTTCATCATACAGTAGGGCTTGGTGTTTTTAAGCTTTGGGGCACGGGGCGGGCCCCTAAACTAGACACCCAGAAGAGTACCTGCGCTCAGGTCTCCGTTGCCGCGACGCCAGGCGGGCTTGCACCCCTGATCCCTGCGACCGCCAAAGCCCCAAGCTAAGTCCTAGAGTAAGAAACCCCAGTGCAGTGCCAGCAATGTGATCCCACGTTTAGGCGCACTTAAAGCAGCCCTCAAGCCCTAAACCCTAAACCCTAAACCCTAAACCCTAAACCCTAAACCCTAAACCCTCAAAAGCCCTCTAAAGGCCTAAGCTCGACCCGAGCAGGCACCACGGTGGTCGGCTCCGCAGCTACCGAATCTGTGGCTGCGCAGAGCGACCTGGGAAGCGAGATGATGGAGGCGGGCCATGGAAGGCTTTTCACTTTCTATTTATGACAACAATACATATATATATATAGACATATATATATATATATATGTATATATGCATTTTCGTTTTTTTTAGCAGATTTTTTTCAATTCCTTGGAAGCCTTTAAAGCCCCGTTTGTCCCAACAAGGGTTCCCTTTTTTGATTTTCCAGCCCTCCGGCGCCTTCTGAATAGCATCCATGTAGATGTCAATGGGTTTATTGAGATCCAAATGGGGGGGGGGGGGGGCGCGACTGCACGGGGGGGGTGGGCGTCCCCCTCAAGCCCCAAGAAAGAAAATAAGGAGAAAGAAAGAGAAAGAAAGAGAAAGACAGAGAAAGAAAGAGAAAGAAAGAGAAAGAAAGAGAAAGAAAGAGAAAAAAAGAGAAAGACAGAGAAAGAAAGAGAAAGAAAGAGAAAGAAAGAGGAAGAAAGAGAAAGAAAGAGAGATAAAGAGAAATAAGGAAATTAAGAAATAAATAAATAAAGAAATAAAGAGATCAAGAAATACAGAAACAACGAAACAAAGAAATAAAGAAATACAGAAATAAAGAAACAAAGAAATAAAGAAAAAAAGAAATAAAGAAATAAAGAAATAAAGAAATAAAGAAATAAAGAAATAAAGAAATAAAGAAATAAAGAAATAAAGAAATAAAGCAATAAAGAAATAAGGAAATAACGAAATAAAGAAATAAAGAAATAAATAAATAAAGAAATAAAGAAAAACAGAAAAAGGAAAAAACAAAACACCAAGAAATACAGGAATAAAGAAATAGCGAAATAAAGAAATAAAGAAATAAAGAAATAGAGAAATAAAGAAATAAAGAAATAAAGAAATACAGAAATACAGAAATAAAGAAATAAAGAAATAAAGAAATAAAGAAATAGTGAAATAAAGAAATAAAGAAATAAAGCAATAAAGAAATAAGAAAACAAAGACATAAAGACAGAAAGAAAGAACGATAGACATAACAAAAGCGAAACAAGAAAGCAATAAAGCAAGAAAGCGAAAAAGCAAGACAGCGATAACGCAAGAGAGAAAGAGAGAGAGAGAGAGAGAGAGAGAGAGGGAGAGAGACAGAAAGAAGAGAGAGAAGCGAGAGAAGAGAGAGAAGAGAGAGAAGAGAGAGAAGAGAGAGAAGAGAGAGAAGAGAGAGGAGAGAGAGCAGAGAGAGGAGAGAGAGGAGAGAGAGAAGAGAGAGAAGAGAGAGAAGAGAGAGAGAGAGAGAGAGAGAATAGAGGGAAGAGAGAGAAGAGAGAGGAGAGAGAGGAGAGAGAGAAGAGAGAGAAGAGAGAGAAGAGAGAGAAGAGAGAGAAGAGAGAGAGAGAGAGAGAATGGAGAGGAGAGAGAATAGAGACAAGAAAGAGAAGAGAGAGCAGAGAGCGAGAGAGTGTGTGTCGGGTAAACTAATGTGGTGACTGCACAATGTTAAGTGCAATCTTTATTTGCCATGCGAGTTTTTAGTGGTTCGTGACCATCATTATTTTCGTTAAGGCTGATACGATGGCGATAATGACGTTTGTGGTGGTGCTCCTCCTAATATTGCTATCCCCTCCCTCCTCTTGAAACTATGTGATAATGTGTCACAATGGAGATCTTGAATGTTAGGAGGGGTGCTATTATTACGGGAGGGCTTCCGGGCCTACAGGGTGCGGGCGCCAAGGCTTCAGGGGCTTTTTTGGGGACCCTTTTCAAACAAGGTTCGAAACCAGCTGCGAGATCTTTGCATCTTGGAAGTTTAACTTTTCGGACTCTCCGCTCACCCCCCTACAAACAAGGCAAAAGCTTTTGGATTCGCACAAGAAAAGAAGCAAGGCGACGTGCTGAAGCGGGGCCCAAAAGGCAGATCAAACCCCCTAAGCCCTAAACCCGCACATCCTAAAGGGTTTAGGGTTTAGGGTTTAGGGTTTAGGGTTTTGGGGGTCTTCACTCAGGTGGATGATCAGCAGGCCCCGCCTGCAGGCGACAAGGCTGCTCCCAAGGCACTTTTGGGCTCGGGGGGCGCTGTCGGATGCTTTGGGTTGGGCCGCCGTTCTTGGGGGTGATGGTTGGGACCGCTAAACCCTAAACCGCAAAGTCTCCAACCCAGAAAGCCCTAAACCCTACAACCCCACAACCCTAAAACCCTTAAACCTTAAACCCTGAAACCCTTAAACCCTCCCCTTAAACCCTCAAATCCCTAGGTCAGGTTCCTTCCGAAGGTACTACCCTCGCGCTCGTGCTCAACCCTTCTCCTCTGATAGACGCTTCTGGCGCCCCAAGAGCCTGCAACCCTCGCACCCCTGTAAGCCCGAAACCCCTGAATCACAACACCCCGAACCCTAAACTGCCCTCTAAAGCCCATAAAGCCCTGTCACACCCCAAAGCCTGAACCCTAAACCCCACCTAGCCCTAAATCCATCTAAACCCTCAACACCTTAAACCCCAAACCAGAGCCTCCCCTAAACCCTCTAAACCTCCCCTCCAAACCTCAAACCCCAAACCCCAACCCCCAAACCCTGGACCCTAAACCCCAAATCCCAAACCCTAAACCCTAAACCCCAAACCCTCAACCCCTAACCCCTAACCCCTAACCCCTAACCCCTAAACCCTA